TAAATTGGTAAAACATGATCTGTTACCTAATTTTAGGGTTTGAATTTCCACATCTCCAGATCTCTTTTCATATTAGGTAGATTTGAAATTCGGACGAGACCTGTCCCCGCCAGCAATGATTGTTGCCATGCTAGCGGGTGAGGAGGGCTGGGGCGCAGTGGTCTCTTTCTGTGGACATGTAATGCTCAAGAAAGAGATCGCTGAACGGGATCGGGAGATGGCCGATCCCGAGCGTAGAGGACGTCGGAGGCGATGTCAGACAGTTTGCCAGAGTGGGGACTTCTGGTGGTGGCAGATTGATTACTGCGGTAAGGAATTACATTAAATTTATTTACAGGGTCCGGGTCCTCCCCAAAGTAGGGCGCCTCAGGCCGGCCGTCGTGGTGGTTTTTAATGGAAACACCACATACTTCTGGCGCCTGCGTCCCCTAGGAACCGGAGATCCGAAGGGATTTTCCACCATGTCACCAAAAACAAAGAAAGTAAATTTTAAATAAATAAGTGTTGAGTGGTTTTCGTTACTTAAGGACAATAGCAACTCGGGTCGTACTCCATAACCCACTCTTATCGACCTATTTAGTTAAAGAATTAAGTACTCGTATTATGCTGTTATTTAGGCCGAGTTTCTGTTCGACTCATCTTACGCTTCCCCAATCAAACTGATTAACTCCACCCTAGTGGTTTAATAAAAACCATGGAGTTTACCAACTTTTGGTTACTGCTGCATTAGGTATACGTTGGCACTTTTAGTTTTACACCTTTAAATAATATATGTATTTTTTTAATATTACGAGTATATCGCCTCCGACGTCCTCTACGCTCGGAATCGCCCTATCCCGATCCCGTTCAGCGATCTCTTTGGAGCATTACAGTTTTACAGAAAGAAACCATTGCATCCCAGCCTTCCTTACCCGCCAGCACGGCAGCAATGATTGCTGGCGGGGACAGGTCTCGTCCGAATTTCAATATGTTTTTGACGTGACAACGTCTTATAATTCGATAAAGCCGGCTGCACGCACGAAAAAACATGACTCATGCGGCGTTACCTCGCTCTGAGGCGTTCCATTTAAGGCGTGAAGTGCAAGCGAGAGCGCGGAACGAGTGACGAAGAGGCACAATCGGCCTCCGCGTTCGGCAGCGTTCGACATCTGTCTCTCTCCTACTTGAGTGAGCGATGCGTCCGCGTGGACAGCTGCTACTCGTATACAATAATACATTTTTGAAAAATGCAACCATTCCATCAGTATTTTCTTATGACGTTGTCACGTTCAACTATCGTCAGTAAACCGACTTTACAGACAACCGATTTTTTTATTTTATTTATAAACATTATTTAGATACAGTTAAGATTTTTAATATGAAACATCTAATGCAGAGGGTCAGACCGGCTGGCATGGCGATGCGTCGCCACGCTATGTTATAGAAGTAACATGTAATGCGGTTTGTTGACGCCACTCTGAACATTTTATTTTAAATATGCTATATTGGCAATATACTTTTATACTTAATATTTTTACAAAATAATTTCGATGTATCACATGCGCCAGACGCCCGTGGCCGATTTTTTTTATAATAATGCTTATTAATATAATTAAGTAAACAATTTATAGTTACTTTAATAACACTGTTTCATTCATCTGCCAAAGACGCTGACGTTTATCACACGTCCCTGGACCATTATTGTATCTTCAGTTGGGTACAGCGTTATCTTAGGAAAACCCGTTGGACAGTTTTAATTTTACGGATTTTGGAAACAAATGCCTGACATTAACATAGATATTATTCGATTTTGCTAGAACTTGATAGAAACCCCGTGGTTTTTTAGACTTAACTACTGGAGCAAGCACAGAACTGTTTTGACAGTAAGTAACGTCTGGTTAAATCCACACGACGCCAAACAGGCCGTTGTTACTTAGTGCTGTCAAGACGTACTCTGGCGAGAACCAAAACAAGGACGATTTACGAATTGCAAAATTATACTGGGATGCCTACGATTATTATACCTATATATCAATTGTAATAAAATAGTTACTTATTGATATTGACATATTCATTGTTATGCATTTTCTTTATTAAAATTTTTTTTGGTCGAGGATCATACAAAAACATTTAAGTAATGTACATAAACGTTTGATTGCTTGAACGATGGCGCAGTATCCGTAGTGACACATCGGCGCGTGATTCACAGGCACCAAGCCTGCGCGTGCTCAAGAATTCCTGACGTCAGCTTGCGTCCGGCGTTTATTATCAACAATTCTAGGAAATATCTCAATATCAAACGAGCTTTTTGGTGCCGAAGAATTGCTGCGATTATTAAATCTAAAATAAAATCATTTTGGCACTACATTTAATGTGAATGGCAGTATCACCGCTGTGTAGATGTCCTATATATCATTTCTCAATATTTTCTAGACATATTTTACTACGTTATTCTCATTGTGATAACTTCTATAGATAACACATATAACTTTCCAAAAAACTAGAATAAATATTTAAACCCAAAAATAACATTTTAAATTAAAGGTATAAATTGCCACATATTATAGAAAACCTAATATCCCGTTTATCTTTAGTTTACTAATATAGCAATTTCATTGAATAGATACCTTCTCAGCAGTAGAATAACCCCGAGTCGGGCACCGCACCGTGTCGCGCCGTTTTTATACCTTTTGTATTCATAACCGCCTCAAAACTCTACATCGCTTGACTCCAGTATTCGCCTTTACCGAATTTGCATCACTAACTTCAGTTATTCAGCACTATAGTAAGGGAAAACACTAACGTCGAAATGCAAAAGGAAAGATTTTATTTGAGATATGTATATAGGGATATTAGTTATCTTTTTAATGGTAGTTAGTACTATACATACCTACATGTATTGTATTCAACCATTTGCATAATACCTAATACTAATTAGGTTGACATAGCTGTATCAATTATCCATAAATTAAAAGTTTCAATCAATCTGAATTGAATTTAAAACAGCACTTATTATCAGTTATTATTATTTATTTAAAATAGCAATACTACATGATAGCACTTTTATATTTAATGGGGTTCACAAAAAATAAAAAACCAATAAAAATTCTACATCCATTATATTTTAACGTCATTATTGTTGACAATTAAAATTAATACATTTAATTGCGTTTTGAGATTTTTTGTTTACTTTTATACAATAAAATGTACGAACTCAGCGTTTGATATTCTTAATTGTTAATACGTATCTTTTATCCACTCATTATCTACAAATATGAAAGTCTTACGATCACTGTTATTGAATTCAACTTTAGATAATGACTGAATAGAATTCTGCATAGTAAAAAATCAGTCTAAAAGAAGATGCTCTCGCGGCACGAGACGTTGGTTCACAAACTACTTCAACACTGTACTTATCAGTTTCAATCTTACATAACTAACACAGGAACAAAATAATTTATTATAATAAGAAGCCTAGCCTATCCATGTTTAAAATCAGTCAAATTTGTAAGAACCCAAACACATACAGAGATTCGAAATAAAATAAGGACTAGTACGGTTTAATTGTCAGTCAATTTATTTTGGCATCTTTTCTTGATTTGCGATTAAAGCTTAGCTAGCTTATGATTGTGGGAAAATAAATAAAAATATAAACACAACCAGAGATTTTCGCACCTTAAACAACGAAGTTATGCACAGTCACATCTCACAAAACGTAAGTAAATAACAGAGTGCTTGCTCCTTCGCAGTTCGGTACAACTCAAACCTCAATTCATAATTACCGTTAAGACATCGATTTAGGAGATATTATACTTAAAATTTACTTCTAAAAGATAAATAAAATAGAACCAACTGTACACCGGCGTTTAGTACCCACCCAGCCCAATAAATACACACTGAACACAGCCCGTTGAAGGTTACAGTCTTGTCGCATCTACATATATCACATTATCACCAGGAGCCTGTGTACCAACGTCACACGTCATCGCGCAAGTTTGGCAGTGGGTTTAAGAAAATTGAGTAATACATATAGGATAATTAAGAATCACAATACAGTTAATACTTATGATTAGAACTTACCTAAGTCAAATACGATAAACGGTGACAGGCATACGCACTGCTGGGTCGATGGAACGCACGCACTTCATGCGAGGATATATCTTATTCCATTTTTGTCACATTCACGATATAAATATATTTATAGAAAAAAGCGCAACGCGTGTTACACTGTTATCTCAATGCCAAGTGTTATATTTTCTTTAGCATTCATACAATACGAAAGGAAGCACAATCCATATAAATTCGGGTAAAAATGATTTAATACGATGTTACATTTCTCTAAATGCCGAGAATTTATTAGTGTAACGTCTGATTGGTCGAGTCGTAGAAAAACACATCTTGACCTTATGTTACGAGACTTTATGCTAGACGCTTCTTTAAAAATACTACACCATAGTACGCTTACAGGAATGTCTAAAAAGTTTAATCTTACATCTACGTGCACTTATATTCAATAGATTTACTTAAAGCGAAATTAAAGTTACGTTACACTTTGGGCCCTATGCACAGAATCTCACTATATCGAGTTAATAACTGTTACAACTGTTTTTATGCTCTGGATGAGAATATTTTCATTGTGAATTAAATTAGGCCCAATGCCGTAGCATACATATTATAGTGAGACACAATGATAGAAGCAATCGTATTTTACACAAGACTTGTCAAGATTTGGATTACTTAGATTAAGACTTGGGGCGTTACATTTCTACTAATATACTTAAATGTAGAAAATACATTAATATTAAATAAGAATCCTGACAAGCCCAAGTGGTGAAACATTTGTTGCGCTTTATGGCTGGCCAAAATCGAGTGGGATTTAGGTAAAATGTAACTAAAAAGATTCGCGGCATTTTTAGTTACTTTGGCAGACCTTGAACAGATCGAGTCAGCAGTGCGCAGTCGATCACGGCGCGGTACACAGTAAAATTACAATACACATATAAACTAGGGAGTGATGTCAATTAGCGTGGAAGCAACCTCAGTCTTGTCAATCTTCCGATGTGAACCAACAACGCTACGATGCCCTGCAGTTCCACTCGTTCGACACTGAAAACCATATTGAGATGCAGTATTTATTGAAAAGCTTTAGAAACTTTGTTAAAATACTAAAAAAAATGTTTTCGATGGAATTTACACAAGTCAACTATTGCAAGTAGTTGGTGAACTTAGTATTAGAACCAAAATCTGTTAGTATTTTTAAAATTAGATCGGCATAACTTAAAACGTGGACAAATTTGAGTCATTTAATACTAAATTAAGAATTTTATTTGTATGTTATTAATGTCTGTAAGAAAAGTATTGAAATTGTACGTCCAAGGAAAATCTCTTTCACAGACAGATTTTTAATTTTATTTTTAAATTAAACAGAATGGCTAGAATCATGGCAGCATCTTTCTTTATGTGTTTTTATTACAACAGGAACACATTTCTCCTATTATTCTTAGTCAGGCCATGATTAATGTTACAATTAAAAAAAAACATAATATGACATTTGAAATCTCTCATTGTTATATGAATTATTCCTTGTTCTTCATTTTGGCGCCAATCTGTGTTACATATTTTTATAATATTAAAATGGAGTGGCGAGATAAAGAGCACCGAATTGCTGTGATAGTATACACAAAGTAACTATAGAGCTACAAGCAATTTTTGAAACTTTCTATCTAGGTATTAGTTGGATGTTTGTGTACCGGGCTATTGATAGAAACCTCCCTTGTTTGTAACAGAAAAAGATCTGGCCGTACTCGTAGGAAAAAGGCGATCAAAGTAGTGAAGAAGAGAATTCGAAGAAAAACTGTCCGAAAATACCAAATTTTATTTCGAATGGAAATGGCAACTAGAATCATGTCGCGTATTTAAAAAAGGACTTAGGACTTAACGCCTATACTCGCAAGAAACACACCAGTCCTTATATAACGGATAATTGAAAAATAAATAGGGTGGTTAAATTATATCAACTTCTTAAGAGGTATGTAACGAGATTCTTTTTTACATTTAACAAGCAGAATGACTTTCAAATTAGTCAGCAAAAGTACAACGTGGGCATTATCCGACCTGTGATGGTTTGATGGGGTGTAAGCCATCAAGGATTGACTGAAACATATTTTCGTGAAACAGGTGTCAAAACATTGTGTTACCATAACCAATAACGGCAACTGGCCGTTATTTTTTACCGATCTTAATCCGCTGGATTATGATTAATGACCATTTTTTGAGAGTATGGCATGCCATACTCCAATCGCCAAACGCGATGATAATTTGGAGTCCTTAAAACAATCTATAATATTGGCAGTAAAAAAAAAGCCATGGCAAGTGCGTATTTCTAATTATAACTAATCTCAACGTTTAAATGACTGTATTAAAGCAAATGGAGATAATTTTCAAATTAAATTCATTGAAGGAAATTATATTAATGTAGAAAACTAAAACACATTATAGTAATAATGTTTTATGCAATAGTTTTCTTTTCTCGTAACAATATTTTATGGCAAGCCTAAGTAGTCACTAAATACACAAAGTCTGTCCAAGTGTTATTAAGAAAGATATGGTATTTATAAAGTAAGAAAGTCAAAACAGCATTTAAAATAAAAGAACCTTCCCACTAGACGACTACCTAAATAATTTGTGAATTGGTCATGTTTTGGATTTTTGTTTTAGTCACGAACAGCACTTTTTTTCAGATGAAAAGTACCACTAAACCTTTTATTGTTTTTTACATGTATGCTAAATTTCATGATGGTCAGTTGAGTAGTAATAATTGTATTTGTGTGACAAACAAATTCAATTCAACATTTCGGAATTATTTTAATTGTTATGAAGTAACTAAAAGCACAACTCACCGAATTATCTTATGCTTCCGTAGGTTGTTCTATGGGATCATTGGGTGGTACATCCATAGCGACTGTCTTCGCTTTTAAATTGGTCACCTCTTTGACATCATCTCCTTGATTTTCGGTTTTAGCCTCCCCAATAGAATCACCTTTAGCGCCGTTAACGATCTCCTTTCCGTTTTCCATAGAGAGTCGAGAGCTTAATTCATCATCTTTGCTTGCGTCTCCATTTAAATCTACCATATCTGCGTCACCGTTGGTTGATTTTCCATTTACCTGTACTGCTTTCGAGTCATTATCTGGCTGAACAGCTTCCACAGTACTAGCGGTAGCCACTTTCTCAGTCGGTTTTGTTTCTGACTTGGTCTCTGATTGGTCAATTTCCATTGAAATTTCGTCATTTAGAGTTTTCGCATTGGTTTCAGCAGATAATTTTGTGCTGCTGACGTCGGATTTTTCACCTTCGATTTGTAACTTCTCTCTTTCTGATTTATCTTCTGTTTTCTTTTCATCAATTGAAATTTTGTTGTCTCTTGTTTCAGGTGTACTATCATCTGTTTCCATTTCAGTTTCAATATTTTCTTTTGTTGCTTTAACCTCATCAACTATCGATTTGCTTTCTTCCAGTTTTCCTGATACAGAACCACCGTCAACGAGTTTTTGTTCTACTGAACTAACATCCTTCTCTTTTGTAATATTGCTTTTCTCTAGAGTTTCTTCTGTAACATTCATTTCCTTTACTTTATCTTCTGTAATACAATTATCTTTTACTTTTCCATCTGTAACACAGCTGTTCATAACTCTGTCATCCTTTAAATTACTTTCATTTTCTTCTGCCTGACTACTTTCTTTTGCTTTATCTTCTGTCTGCCCATTTGCAGTTATCTTTTCTTCTGTCCCATTACTATCCTTTTCTTTTTTCAAACTAGTTTCATTTACCCTATCTTCTTTCGAACTACATTCCTTGACTTTTTCTTCCGTCAACTTTGCTTTTTCTACTTTCTCTTCTGTCACACTAGCTTCCTCTACTTTTTCTGCTGTCACACTAGTTTCTTTTACTTCTTCGGTTACACTAGCCTCCTTTACTTTTTCTTCTGTCATAATAGCATCCTTAACTTTTTCTTCTGACACACTAGCTTTCTCTACTTTTTCTTCTGGGCCACTAGCTTCCTCTCCTTTTTCTTCTGTCACAGTAGTTTCCTTTACTTTTTCTTCTGTCACACTAGATTTCATTACTTTTTCTTGGGTCACACTATTTTCCTGCACTTTTTCTTCTGTCACACTAGTTTCCTGTAATTTTTCTTCTGTCACACTAGTTTCCTGCACTTTTTCTTCTGGCGAACTAGTTTCCTTTACTTTTTCTTCTGGCGAACTAGTTTCCTTTAATTTTTCTTCTGTCACACTAGTTTCCTTTACTTTTTCTTTTGTAGTGCATTTTACATCTACTGAAGCATGTTTTTCTTTTACTTCCTCTGTTTTTGCTTCTTCTACAATGCCTTTTAATGGTTTTTCTTCGGGTACAACAACTACAGATGGTTTGTCACTGACTTCCAGTGTTTCACTTTTGTCTGCATTTGTAGTAGGCTTAGCAGCAGATATATCTTTAACGCTGTTAAGATCAATATCTGTGCACTTTTTCATTTCAAGTTCCTGTTCTGAGTCCAAAATTCCTTCAACTATATCATTTGAATCCATATTTTCAGTTTCCATAGTCTCCTCAGCAATAGGACGTAACTGCTTTAATGGTATATTATCCAGGTTGGTGACGTCTTGCACCTTTGACAGTATTTCATCACATTCTTTCTCCAGTACTTCCCCTACATTCTGAAGATCTTCCATATCTTGAGCTGCAGGTTCCTCAACCACAGGAACTAAATCTTCAACAATTTCAGTTCCTTCACTTAGACTCTCTTTCTCATTTGTAATATCTTTGATTTCTGTGATAACAAGGGGAAGATTTTGTTCAGATACAGATGCGTCATTGTGTTCATTTGCTTTAGAATCGGACACGGAATTTACGACCTCTACAGGCTCAGTTTCCATCATTTTAGTAGCAGCACACTCTATTACTATAGGTTTAGCATCAGAGACAACGACGTCTGAAACTTCTTCTGAACCAGTAATATCTTCCACAGTAGTTTCGATATGCTCGACAGCTTCGCTTGTAAGTTTTTCAGCTGCTGTTTCCTCTTTAGGGCTATTTTCTTCTTCTACCTCCATTTTGTCTATCTCTTCGGATTTGTTTTCGGATTGTGGCGGTGAAGTTTCGACTGGAGTTTTAACGTCAGTTTCAACATCAGTCTTAGGAACTTTTGCAGGTTGTTGCTGATCCTGTAAACACAATAAAAATACTTACTTAATTATTTACTATTTAGCCGTTAAACAATTTTATCAGTTCTATAAATTTAAATGTTATGAAGTAAAGAAAAAATCGTATGTAAAACTATTTCTGGAAAAGAAGTGGTATCTTGTTATGTACAACGAACTGGCCTCTTACATAAAAATACCAAAGGACATATATTTTGTCTTATATAACAAGGACGACCTCAAGAAAATTTACATAATATATACCACATATACTTCGAATCACTAAACAGAAAAAAAAATGGACATCATAGGTATGTGACAGCATTTTTAATAAAACCTATCTTAATAAGAAACAGGATACGACAACAACAATGATTAAAGATCAAAAAATGTATGTGACAAGTCGTTTTGTCATTCTCTTGTCAGATATTCTATAAATGTTAACGTGGGGTAGGTTTCACTTTGCCAATATGGTTCTTTTTTTAAATATTTGTATTACGAGACTTGGGTATTGATGGGTTCAATTTCACCCAGGATAAATACTGTGTGATGAACACGATTACAGTACTTACACTAAACAAGCAAATCTTTTACAAATAAATGAAATAGATAAAAAAGTGCATTTTGTTTTTAAAAAGAGCTAATTGCATTCGAATAACGAATACAGGAAATGCACTCACATCATTTAAGATCAAATCTCGTCAAAATGCGAGCCAATACAAAAAATAAATGCCGTATCAATTTAGAGGGTTGTGAAAATGCTTTTATTATCGACTTCAATTGTGAATAAAAATTAATGATACCTTATCAAAAGTTAATAAAAAGTTATCTGTAACCAAATAAATAATATTGCAGTAGATGATACTATTTATATTTTAATATAACTGCCTGTCAGTTTTAAAACTATTCAAATAACTGCATTGGACGAAAAAATAAACAAAAACATAGAAAAAAGAGCTGAACAGTGTTATACGGTACTAGATTTCGCCCGCGGCTCCGCTCGCAGTAAAAAAAGTAGCATATGTTACTCGCTGATAACGTAACTTTCCATTGGTGAAAGAACTTTTAAAACGGGGTAGTGGTTTAGGTGTGAGACCCTAATAAACCAACAAATTCACTTTCACATTCATAATATAGGTATGGATTACATTTGCTTATAACTTGACAGTCAAATAAATGTAAGAATGAATATCAAAGAACAGAACATAAATTACGCAATTACTCTGATAGAGTAGTGATAAATACGAATGACATTTAGTGATGTTGACCTTATAGAAAGCACAGATAATTAAATAGAGGGAATTAATTCGATACTTTGATAATATAATTGTATATACGCTTTTGATTAATAATTTTATTGGTAATGAAATAAAATAATGTTTGTAGGTGTTTTGTTTTTAATTTTTATTTTCTTTAGTTGTATAATACTTTATAATTAAAGTTTGAGATGCACAAATAGTGAGCTAATTTATTATTTATTATTTTTTTATTTTAAGTCTCTTGTACCACACACACACATGCACGCACGCACGCACGCACGCACGCACGCACGCACGCACGCACGAACGCACGCACGCACGCACGCACGCACGCACGCACGCACGCACGCACACACAATCATACAAAAACATCCGTAATTTAACTAACGAGAAGTAACTTTTTCTTTTTATATCGAGAACTTTTCTACTTATTAAATATCTTTACGTTTATTATATAGAAGGTATTTTATTAACTACTGAAATCAACTTCTTCAGGGATGTTAATTACATTTGTACAATGAGTCACTATACTAAAAGTATTGATTTAAACACAGGAATTTAATTTCAAACATAATATTTTTATTATAAAATATTCACGTAACAACAATTATAATTAAGGTAAAGTTAACCACAAGCTTAGCCCAAAAGCCGTAACAAATATGTTTAGGTGCGATCCATTGACGTGCAAAGAAATTTTTTAAGACGAAACGGGAAGTCTTTACATTTTACTAAGACATTATTAAAGAAGCTCACATTATACTACCAATAGAAATAATAATTGATATGATGAGGAATCATGAGGAAATGCTTTTTCGAATTTATTTACTGCTATAATGTGTGTTTATTGATGTTGGTATAAATTATTTTCAATTCAGTATTTTGGGTAAATCATATTACTTATTTTATTGTTGAATCATTGTTTAGGTGAAGTAATCATTATTCAAGAGTGTACATATAATTAAAAAAAAAGCTAGTGAGAAATTGTAGTAAGTAATAATATTCAGAAGCCTTAAAATTTATTTATAATATATTTACTATCTAAATGATTACAGATGGTCATGAAAAATGTCGGAGATCTGTGGCAAGAGACAGCTGTGCAATATACGAGTGACACAGTTTCCATTGTGCTTATACACGAATAAGTGTGTTAATGTTTTAGGGTTATAAAGAACAAATTGAGAATTTGTTCTTTATAACCCTAAAACAATTTCAAATTTCCTCAGATGTTCAACCGATCTTAAAGTATGCACACTTTCTGTAAATTTTTGTATTCTTTTGTTACTTGCTTAACATCAAGAGCCATTGACATTTGAGACCTTATGTTTAAAAAGGATTAAAGTCAGAAACTCAGATCTCACAAAAGTAGTTTAAGACAACAAATTTTTTCAAGGGTTTAACTGCTAAATATTACATATTATTTTATATTTAAATAGTATGTATCGTCTACCGATTGTATAATGCCGGCCCAGTTTACCCAGCAAAGTATTTACAAAAATAAATATCAAGTTCCATAATCTTAACTCGCCAATGGACCACCCTCTCAAGCATATACTACTAACATATATATACTTACCCAAAACCACTATAGTAGACTACACATATACGGTACTACAGATTGCATGCTTTGCTAGTTTGGTTTATGGCAGAGATATCATCGGAGGGGCACCTGAGCATCGGTCTTGCGTTTATTTGTCGCAGCGAGCTCCGTGAAGCTGTAGATTACTGGATAGGCACTGGTGATGGCCTCGGATAAAGGTGCGTTGCCTTCGCGGCTCACTAGCGCTGCCTGAACACCAGCTAAGCGAGCTGCCTCTGCCTCTGTAATTTAAATGATATGTGTCATAATGGATATTCTTTCAAAACGTTATTAAATGGTAGAAAAAATAGGTTACCCTGGCCATGTTTAAAAAAAGGTTATTTTAAATTGCGAATAACACAAAAAAAAACTAGAATAATGTAGTGGGTCATACAAGAACAAAATGAACACAAATGTATTTCGCATGCCATTTAAAACCGTAAAAAACGGCAAAGCACGCGTGAATTGCGGGTGAATTACGCACTGAGCGGTCCACAACACGGTCCAAATTTTAATGCGTAAGTTGTACATTGTACTTCTAAATTATGCCAATCACATTCTTCACTTATGTGATGACCAGGATTTCTGTCAACAGAACACTTCTCGAACAGCTTGGTTTGTGTAGTTCTATCTCTTTTGCAGTTTACAGAGCGTCCATAAATGCTGCTTATGTTTTAATATAAATTTTGATCACTTTTAAAACAGCATAATATATTTTTGGGAACATATTTGGGGAACTCTTACAATATAATTGCAGCTAAAAGAAATTTAGTTGCTCTTGTGAGGGTACAGAATATAGACTTTAAAGCCCTTGGAATAAATGTGTTGTAGTTTTTACCGTATCCATTTTTGAAACTGATTTTCATGATCACTTCTCCTAAATTTATTTCGCATTTTACCAAAAATGAACAGTTAATTCAGTACTAGTTATTATCCGGTATTTTATTTACAAAAAAATCATACATTTAATAATTTTTGTCTGCATGTAAGTTTTTAACAACTTAAAAATACAGATTTTTATAACAAAGGGCATAGACATACATACCTTTGTCAATGTCAGTGAGAAACAGTATTTCTTCGGCCTTGCAGCCAATCTTCTCAGCGATGGCGGTATAACTCGCAGACTCCTGCTTAGCACCTACGGCAGTGTCAAAATGGCCATCAATCAGCTTTAGCATGTCGCCTGCTGAAGACATGCCAAATAAAAGCTTCTGAGCCTGGACTGAGCCTGACGAGTAGATATACACCTTCCGGCCTTCCACAGAGCGCCACTGCTCCAATGCCGGAGATACATCATCGTATACACTAGAACATTAAAATATAAAATAAATAAAATATTACAAAACAGCATAAGCATAAAGTCTACTGACTTTATTTTTTCTCAGGAAAATATAAACAGTAAGAAAAAAACTAAGGATTGCCTTTTATTTACGTTAATCGTGGGGTTGCCCAATATAAGTATAGTAGTCTGCTTTTTAATTAGATAGACAAAAGTGAATGACGTAAATGACACTAAGATACTAAGAGTGAAAGCTGAAAAAGAATAAAGTCGCCATAATTAGAATAACATTTCATTATCATAGCCAATGTTACATTACATCAAGACCCTGCTTCCTGCTGTAAGTGACGGTGGTACCTTGTGTTACAGGAGACGGTGTCTTCACCCATTTTGTTGTATCAACTATAAAATAAGAATACAGTTAAGTGTGTATTTACACACATATTTAACCGTCTTCTTTGTACTTAGGTATTACATGTGTTAGCGTCATTATTACTAATTGTATAATGATGTATTTATTATTAAAAATATTGTAATGTAATTTATATAAGTACTCTAAGAGCTCATATACTATGTGTTATATTTGTTACAATATCACCTTTTTAATTTACGTGTAACTACCATATTTTTTCTCTGCATCTTCCTAACGTCGACTGGGAGAAAAGAAAAGTCCACCTTCGCCACATTGTTTCGTCCATTAAGAATAAAATAAAATAATAATAACGGCTTAACAATTTAAATTACAGCGCAGTTTTGTTATTAGATATTGAAATACGTATCTACTCATGACTTAAGTTTATGTTTTCATTTGAAATGTCACTACAATTATAAATCTGGCTACTCATGATACTAATTCAAGCTAATAATTTAACATAACTTAATCATTAAGAATACAACACTACGAGTATTTTTACATTATGATAATGCGGCAACCAACTTAATGTCATTTTAGTCTATCTAATTAAAAAAATTATTAATTAAAAAATCAGACTAGCTGCTGCTTCCTCTAGAGACTAATTTGAAGTTCAATAGACGAATACAAAAAAATCAGTTGCTTAAAACAATCAGTGAGTTTTATCTATAACGTAGAAACGTTATAGATCACCACCAAATTTATTACTACTATGCAAATAGTGATGTTTGATTTAGATTTTCCTATTTCTACACACAAACCGCACGTCAAATGCGCGGGTGAATCAAACACGTCAATTAAATTCGATTTATGAAACATGTTTTATCATTTTAAAGCCAAATCTGTCGGTACCAGCGATTGCGCTTTTCCTCCTTGGGATGAGTGCTTCATTATAATTTACACATGTACCGTGGGTGCTGCCGGAATTTTCTATTAAAAACACTCGAAGCTAAACGAGCCTAAAGGAAAGACGGCAATTTCATTGTTATGTTCAAATATTCTTAACGCAAAATAGCAAGTGACCTAGAATATAATTTACTTTGAATTATAGTGGGTACCCTGAATGATGATTATAGATTTCATTTCAAGTCACGTACGCGAATATAAAAAACCCTCCACATTGCGTTAATGACAAATATTTGTTAAGTTCAAATGAGGTGAAGAATGCTTTGCAGTTACCACATGTGTAATTATATGTAGTTGTACTTACTGTCCTTTGATGTCACCCTTATCATATCCCTTCTTCCAAATAAGACCTTGCAGTTGCTTTAGTGGCCCAACTTTACGGTCCGATGACATCTGCCATTTAACATTCTTTACCAAAGCATCTATCTGATCATCTTTAGAGGCATCCTGAAACCAGAGGCATCCAAATGGCAATAAAAGCATTTAAATCACTTGTATCTTAAAATAAGTTTTAAATTTTGTAAGATTGACTGGCGTTCTGTTGATATACTACCCTAGTGTTGCAGAGAAAGAAAAACCAGCTTCTAAACATGTTATTGGTGACTAAAATATACTTCTATATCGAATAAATAAATATAATCGAATTGAAGACCATGGATATTTCGATCTTACGAGCCTAAGGCCATTACCACATAATATAATGTTATTGGCAAAATTTTAAGAACGTTTAAAAACCGTATAAATTAGCTCCATTGTATTTTTTATGGTGTAATATTGTCGTATACGTAGTATATAGCTCCTACTGAAACGTAGAATACTGCAGAAATAATAAAAATTTAATTGTTATATCTATATCAGTACAATAACTTACATCTGCAGGAATTGTAACGACCCCATCAACTTTCTTCTCTTCGTCCTCAAGAGCTAACTTCCTCAGTGCTCCAACAGCGTCTTTTACATCCGCAGACCCCCATTCATTGTTTAAAAAATCCTTTACATTTTCTTCGGCATAAGGAAACAATTTATCCTGCAACAAACAAAATAACACGTCGAGAAAATTTGTTAAACATTACGATTAGGAAATGTTTTTAAAGATATGCCATTCGTCAATGACCTGTCGACACTGTTATCATTGTTCAAGTTTATCGTAAATTACTTTTGTTTTCGTATTCATTGCCATTTTATTCCGTATTTTATTAATACAACCTTACGTTAGTCTTTTTCACTCCTACTCGATGATCGCGATGACTGGTAATGACTTGAGCGGGCCAATCGCAACGCGCACTATAAACACGCACAAATAAACTCGCACTAGGCCCTCTATTTCCCAGATTCTTAATTCACCTGATTCTCCACTCAACTAACCAGATTTTCTACTATCAAACGATATATGTTTATGACTGTGATAATACATTATTGTATATATTTTTATGGAACTACTTTATTTGATTGACATTGATTTTTAAGAAATAGTGTGTGTGAATATTATCATGGATGGAACTGAATTAAAATTTAATGTAAGTGAAAGAGTTGCTAATCTGGTGAATTGAGCATCTGGTAAACTACTTATAATCCGCTGGTACTAGTGTTTATTATATACAGAATCGTCATCATCATCACCTAGGTATCCTACTAATTAAAAAAATTGCACTGTAGTTTTCTGTAGTCACATTTTTTCTCAGAAAAAGGTTCTGAACGAGAATGGTATACACAAAACGGGTTAACACAGAAATCTGCTGTGCCTAAAAAATGATGAAGGTCTGCTTGTTTGCCACCCTTTATATATTTGTTTAACGATGTTATTTGACCACTTTGTAGGAGTGATTACTATGCGAAATTACAGGTTTCTAGCACTAATAGTCTATGAAATATACTGTAGACAGACGGATGGACGGACATGACGAAACTATGAGGGTTACGTTTTTGCCATTTCGGCTACGTGACCCTAAAAACAGTTACTGCCTAGCAGCAGGCGACAAGTATTTAAAGGACAATGCTGACATAAAAAGCATTGCTTACCATAAACATTTTGCACTAAAGGAGAATGCGAGAGCTCATAACCAGTCGTACCGGTCAAAGTTGATCTATAGTTCTATACAATTCTTGCTTCGCCTCTTTAGTTACGGATATAAATTCAAAATTCAGGTATTTACACTAATGTCTCATCTAAACGCTCCAAACTAGCTAATCCGACTATATGTTATATGCTATTTTAATTAGTATTATTTAGTATCTAATCAATCGGCGTTGTAACCTAATTATTAGGGATTACAATCCCGCAGGATTTTTGATGCATTGACTTCGTTACAGCGGGATCCCGCGGGATCTCGCGTAGTTTATAGTTTTTTTTATGGAATTCAAAATAATAAACTTAAGTATGGTAAAAAAAAAAAAAAAAAAGATTTATTTAGAAACACAAAGAAAATAAATTACATGAGTGCTTAGCAAGACATAAAATAACTGTAGCAGATCTTATGAGATAAATATGTAACGAAGTCTGTATCGTGGGGTCCCAGCCAAACGTATTTACATTAAGGTATAGAGCTCCTGCTCCTTACAATTTTACTCCTCACAATTTTAAACATAATAGATTTTAAATTAGGTAATAATTATATCATAATATATATAATGCAATATATAAATTATATATAAATATAACCCATAAGGAATACTATTAATAAATTATACTTCTAAATATTATAAATAACTGAATTTATAAATATGTTTTATGCTGTGGTAGTTAATAACTTTTCTGTCTCTTCATACGTGAGTTTACTTAACCATTAATAAGTTTTTATTTTTGTCTCTGGTACTGTATTCAGACGGATTTTACAGAATTTGGAAGCAATATTATAAATGTAGGGTGATAAAACGGATAAAAGCGTTGGGCAAATTTAGTGCGGTACATGTAGTCTAAAAAAAGTTTGCGGACACTTAAAAGTTTACTTTCCTCATAGAGTTTAGTGGTTGGGTATAGTATGGACTTTTTAAGCATTGTTTTGAATACAGAGCGATGTGCTCTTTCCAATTGAATCATGTGTGACTTGGCTGCTCCGCCCCAACAGGATATGCATATGCAATAGGTAAGCAGCGATTCACACAGTGCAAAGCAAGTCATTTCAAGTGTTTCTGGAGAGGCGGCATGTCTGAGTTGTCTCATTATATTTATTGTTCTTTACTTAAAGCCACGGAAGTTCTTTACTTAAAACTGTATCTTACTTCTCTAGCTCCAAAATAAATCGAAATGTTGTATTTGCAGTTATTAGGGTAGACTCTCTTCTGTATAGTACTTCAAAGCCCAATTTAAAGGGCAGTAAGCTGTCAACAACATTTTTAAATTTTGTACCATTCGAAGAAATAAAATTTATCTCAGATGCTATGTCGATGAGAGCTTTCTCAATGCACGCTTTAAAACAGTAAAACCTGTCTAACATATCAGACAAGCTGTTTCAGCGAGTGCGGTAATCTAGAATTAGGCAATTCTTTTCCTGTATCTTCTTTTACATGTTTTTGCAAATACATATCATCTTTAGTTGGCGACCCTCGGAAAATCTTTACCGCTGTTCGAACTTTTTTAATAATATCGTTATAATCGGCAATCACATCCGCAGGTGGTCTATCGACAGTTATTGTCAAACCTTTTATTTTAATCGTTGATTTCTTCTACGTTTTCGTTATCATCAATATCCAAATCGGTCAACTACTTTTTTGTATGTTCTATATTTCCTTCGACCCTTTTTTGTACAGAATTTCGACCACAGCTAATTGTATACCGTGTTCAAAACAAAGTTGTTAATACAAGATACAAGTTTGTCGACTTTTACCACGATACATCTTTTGCACCGTCAGTTGTCATGCCTATAATATCGGTTTCAAAAGTCAAGACCAAAACTCGCCAAGCGTTATTAAACCAATTCAATACAATGTTCATGAACTATATTCGAATCAGACTAAGATTAAAATGAGTTTCTTGGTGATGAACATTCACGTTCAAATATCAGCGGTTTTTTTGAGATGTCCACTCGTCGAAGCTAAGCGAAAATCTTTGTAATTGTTTCTTGAGATGTGAAAATGCGATAATCATGTACTTTTTAACAGTGTTTGAGAAATTTAAAACTATATATCTGATTGTATTAGGATAGTTTGGAAATCCACTCTTCGAGAAAAAAATATCTTAAATCTGAAAATGTACAAAATTAATTAAGACTAAAACCATGCTTACAAATCATTCTAGAAACTATCTTTCGCATTGAATTTTCCTTTATTAAATAGCCATCGATAGTGTTTTACTTTACTTCTTGGGAAGTTCTTCCTTAACAATATTTTGTGATGATGTTGACGGTGAGGGTGCTTTTGATCATACCTCCGTGTTTTGTTGAGATGATTTACCTATTATTAAACAGTGTTTCGTTTTCAAGTGGGTTTTTAGGCCAGCGGTAGAACGTTGGGGTAATTAAAAAAAAAACATAGTAGACATGTTGGTTTCCCTCCATCTTCAGACTTTAATGTACAAATGGCAGTCCTACGTATAATGACGACAATAAAATACAATATTGGACAAGGACAATATCTTCCTTGGGGTTATAAAAATAGTTAATTAGAGGACAAGTAAACAAACATTATACTAACCTTGCGGATCGACTAAAACAAAATCACGTTGACGAGTGACGACTTGACGAGTCAAATCACAACTGACTGAGACATGTCGCGTCGTGGCGGCGCGAAACAGGCTATGTGCGTGCAATTCAGACGCAAAACAAAAGATTGAACGGCAACGTCACTCGTAAAACGCGTTGCTGAGTAGATTAAAGGCAGCAATTTTATAAATTTGTAGGAGCTGACTGTTTTATATGTATATTTACTTCAAAAACACTAACAGGTTCTCAATTCGACTGTATTTTTTATGTGTTTGTTATGCGATATCTCCGTCAATTGTGGACTGATTTTCAAAATTCTTTTTGTAATCGAAAGGGTATGCTCTCGAAGTTGTCCCATTACCACCAAATCAGGATCTGATGATGGGATCCTAGAGAAATCGAGGGTAACCCTCAAATTTTACAGCCCCGACAACGCAAATACCTATAAAGCTAGAGAAATAAGCTAGTATTTCTCTAGCTTTATAGGTATTTATTTGCGTTTAGTAGTCATTATGGGTTACTGAGCTGATGATCCTTGTACTTTAGGAGTAAGAAAATAACCCTTTTGAAAATTTAATCACGTATGGATCGGGTTTTAAACTTTCAAGATATTTGTTAGGTGTTTGTGTAGGGTTACTGAGATATGTGGACCAGCGTGTAATAAATTACATTTAAACAAAAAAATGTTGGTTTGGCAATTATTTTCCTGATTGTTACCTCAAAACTCATTTATTTGTAAACCGATTTGGAAAATTCTTTTTTTTTTCATTAGGAAATATTTATATGGTTTATTCCCATTAGTTCAATAAAGCCAGTTCCGCATGGAACTTTTGCAACCCACTAGTTTTGAAGCGGAAAATTTTACCCAAATAGTTCCAGTTACGTAGCTATTTGTATTATGGGACATGAAACCCTTTTCTTTGTTTTCATGTGCTACCAACACTTAACGCATGCACCATTGACCTACTACTACTACTACGGTACTAGGGTTTTTTTTTAAAATTCTATGTGGAACTAGCTTCATGGAACTACTGGGAATAAAACATTTATTTAAAAAAAATCCCAAACCTAGTTTTGGAAAATTAAGTATTATTGAAAACATTATATTTTGGGTTCAAATGTCAAACATCTCACTACCTTATCAGATAAGTATATAAAGTTATCTGTTATATTGAGGGTACTTATTATAGTTTTTACTTAGATTTGTTATTATTTTTTAATTATTATCTTTGTCAGTATTGTTTGAAGTCGGTTCAACTTTTTTTTTAAGGGTTTTAATTTTTAGTTCTATTTGTTAGTATTGTTTGAAGTCGGTTCAACTTAAAAACAAAAAGGTTTTACCTATGGCATTCACCATGGATGTTTGATATCCACTAAGTATTCAGCCACTGATTAATTACCGTATTTTTCCTGCTTTTGTATGTACATTTTAAGTGCGAAAAATACCTTCCCTTAAAAACTACATCCTTGTACGTTTTACGTCATGTGTACAATCAACGAAGTCAAAGCACTAGTTTTTTATCAGTTAGAAGAACGTGTGTGTAATGCACACTTGCGACACGCAAAACGACAATTCGACAATATAGGGCTGGATATCCATCCGGTTTCAAGGCTGGCGAGGTTTCTGGTAACCGGCCAAACTGCTAATCCGGTTCATCTCACATACATACAGAGATGACACAGGTGCTTTGACCTCGTTAAATTTGGATTAAAAGGTCCCACTCCATGCGTAGACACCAATAGCTGGGGTTGTTTGTTTTATTTTTCAAATCAGTACTTATTTTAATAAATGTTCAGGTAGTCTTAACTTTTAAAATATAAGCGCACATCTTGTAATATGACCTCAAACGACAAACGAAAACGCCTATTTCCTTGAAACTGAGCTTGTTTGGTAAGTACCTACTTTATTTTGTCCACCAACTTTTAACACGGGCTTTTAACAACGGTTGACAACGGAACTTGACATTCTGGGATATGATTATATAAACTTTTATAGGTGGCTATATTGAAAGGTTTTCATCTATATTGATAACCCATATAGCTATTGCCCGAGGCTTCGCTCGCGTGGTTATTTCGTATTTCTTATAACTTTAAAAAGGACGAATTTCCGTACAACCATTCTTCCCTTATTTTACCCCATTAGGGGTGAAATTTGCAAAAAATATTTTGTAGCTAGTTTAAGTAGGTGTAATCTAATATATAAAACTCTCGTGTCACGGTGTGCACACTGCACAACAAACAACCACTAAGTTAGATGAGCTACAATTGGAATGTCTGCGACATTCACCGTACTCTACACCATTTTTTCCGGAATTTGGACAACTTCTTACAAGGAAAAAAATTCAACTCTGATGCGGCAGTTCAAACCGCTTTCAAAGAGTTCATTGATTCTCGCCCCCATGGTTTTTTTAGTAAAGGGATCAAAGAACTACCTATGAGATGGCAAAAGTGCATAGATAACAACGGTGCATACTTTGATTAATTAAATATATTTTACAAAAAAAAAAAATGACTATATGTAAAACGTTTTAAAAAAAAGCATACGGCGTATATATAACGGCGGTTTTAATACCAACCAAAGTGGGCGTTTGTGTGGGTTGTGGGTCAAATGTTTATTTTCCGTATTCGGGAATACCAATGCCAATGTTGACTAATTAACTTGTATTTCAAAGAAAAAATATTAAATAGTGGCAGACAGCAATTACGTATACGTGTAGTATGTATAAAATTGGCAGCATTTTTTCCACACAAGCATAATATGAACACCGATTTTTTTTTTTCCGTGAGGAAATCCCCTCTAATACCACCTATCGGTGGCATGCCAGACTCGAACCGACTAAACCCGCACGCCGTCTCGGGTACTAATATCCGGGGAACCAGGTATACCCTAGAAAGGAAGTCCCTGGTGCCTCGACATACCTCGGGCCATCTACAACAAGTAGACCCCCCCCGTGTGGGAACCCCATGTTCCCTCTGCTCCCTGGAAGCGAGCGCGCTTCGCAACGCGCTCGCTGTCACCCCGGCGTGAATCTGCTAGGATGACAGATGGCCTCACCTGTCACCCGCAGGCCTGAGCTTATGGAGGACGGAAATATGAACACCGTAATCTACAAAATACCTATTCATTCCGTAGCTACACCTTTCACAATTTTCTAAAATTATGATTGAGTAAGATTACCGGAGCTAAAACCTCCCTTCTGCCCCCTTGGTTCTCTCCCATTCTGATGGGAGGATCTCAAAGGGCGAACACGCACTTCAGACTGTTGAGTTGCACGTGTCCAGGGGCAGCGGTGACCCCTCTGCTCGTTTGACCCCTTAACCATAAAAGAAATTGCAAACCGTTCAAAATTAACTACCTACTTTTTATAAAAACAGGAATACGAACACACTTAGGAAGGAATGATGTGTAACACGCTATCTGCAAACCGAAACTGTTTTCTAAACCAAAAATTAACCGGCACGTTTTAGTGTGTACAAAACATTCGGTTTTAAAAAGATAGCAACACCTATGTCTAAGTTTAGCATAACACGAAGGCCCGGTGAAACTGCATCGTCTACGATGCGGCAAGCCTTTGGGTGAACGAACTGCGCGCCGTGTCGCTGTCCAAACCGGATAGCTAGCCTACCTAGCCTAACGACCCCACCGGCAAGGCAGGAACGCACAAGAGACAGAAATTGTTCACAAAACATGATCTAATTATACCTATATTCTATTATTTCATAACTACCCATGAATTCGTGTATTTACAGTCGATGTGTCCATCCAAGTGTTACCTGTAAGAGATTGCTTTTTCTTTTTTTTTTAGTATTTGATGTACTCTTGTTAATAGCAAAAAATATGGTGTACAATCAAGTTTATTCTAATTCTACACAGTACAGCTGTACAGCAGATTAAAGTTATCAATGAAATGAGCATTGTAATGTCAACGAATTCAGCAAATATGAGAATGATTATTATCCTCCTTATTAGAGGTTTATAAAGCCACATAGATAAGGAAGTGTGTATTTGAAAGAATAACAAGATAATATAAAGAAATTTGAAGCTAAACGAAATTATTCAATTCATAAATTGTCAGACTCGGACATACCGACAAAAAAACATATGAATGCCAGCTGATTTACGAGCGGAAGTAATCAGCTGATCGTCGACTGAGTTGAACAAACCGTCTAGTAATAGCGGTATGTTTGTAGGCGCATATTTGTTTAGCCTAAACTTTGTATAATTATAATGTTACCAGCAGCAATATCTATAACAATGAGGTATATGGATAAATGACATCTACACACATCTTTGGAATTTTGAATTAATACCATGAAATCGTTGATAGAAAATACTAAAACAAACGTTTGAGCAAAACACTAGATAGATTAGACCGATTTTTTTACAAGTTAAATAATCCTGATTTAAACAGGCAGGCGCATTAAAATTTTCATTTATATCCTGACAAAAAGTATATTCTCAGCACGAGTGCGAGAAGGACAGCATATACGAGCTCGATACTATTGAGAAGGACAGCATATACGAGCTCGATACTATTGAAAAGGACAGTTAATTGTTCCAATTTTTTATAAGCCAGCTGCTTGAACAGCTGTTCATGCCGGTAGGCGTTGTATCAAGCAAAATTACATCTTATTAGTATAAGTACAAACTTTTTTTATAAGATCTTTTAACTTATGATAAGTTAGAGCACTCAAATTGGTTAAATACAACAATAATTTCATTTAATGCGAGTTTAACGGGATACCATTAAACGCAAAAAATTACACCTTTTTCATTAAAATAAAATATAAACGACTTAAATAAAAAAGGTATTCTACGAAAAGCATCTTCGATATCCACGATACAATCAAAAATAACTAGTTAACTTGTAACACGTGAATAAGATCAGACAATGAAAGGAGAATGAAAAGGGGTACCATTTTGATTTTGTCCTCCATGTTGCAAATCTGCACTCGCAACCATTTTGCATGCCGAATTAGAATGTTTGGTAGATCGATAAATAAAACTACACTAAAATATGCTAAACAAATAGCAACTGCACATAAAACACATGTTGAGACAAAACACCGGCCGGTCAATCGTTAGACCTACCTTAACAAAGCTGATCGATGTTGTTGTTCCTTCAATGTCCAATAGAAGAATTTTGCATTTCTTTACGATGTCGTTGATTTCGCTTTTCTCATTCGCCATTTCAAAACAATAATTTTATCTCTTTTTAGTGCACTTTATGATTATTTTCTCAATAACTTGACTAGAAATTCTTCCACGCTACACTACCTCCCCACACTGGCACAGAAAAAAAGCATTGATTGAGCGAGTCGAGCGAAACAGAGAACACGTCTAACCGAGAGAGATAGCAGCTTGTAGAAGCAGCTGATTGGTCACAAGGTGAGAGGGACAACATCGTTTTACAATAGAATGAGAGAGATGCCAAACGGAAGGATATGCTTTCATCAATGCAACCAATATAATAAAGAAACGGTAATGTTTACCACAATCATGAAATTAATGTTTTTGGGTTTGCAATATTTTTCATTTTCACCGTCAGTCCGTGAATATAAAGGAATAAACAACATGTTTATTCATAAGACGCAGTGGTGTACCACAATAAATTCCAATTAAAACGAATAAAGTCTGACAAGTTTGTTTCAGTTCTATTTAATGTTCTGGTTAATAATATTTAAAATTGAAATAATATTTTAAACGAAATTACACACTACAGTGTAGTAACTAGCATTTTACCCGGAGGGAGCCTCTGTATTATGCGCCATCGAAAATATGTAAAGAAAAGCAACAAAGCTAATTTAGTCTTACAAGATTTTCTGAGAAACACAGATTACAATGCCCACTTAGCGTAGGAACTGGAGCCGTCAATTTTTTAGAGATCAACGGATTTAGTTTTGTTGTGAAACTAAACGGCTTTGCTTTGACTACTATACTTTATTGCTTGAGAACGTAACTGTAACAGTTTTAATCAATCAAACGCCAAGACTTGTTTATCTCATATATAAATATCTCGTGTCACGGTATTTGTGGTCGCACTCCTTCGAAATGGCCCGACTGATTTTAATGTTTTTGACGTGACAACGTCTTATAATTCGATGGAGCCGGCTGCACGCACGAAAAAACATGACTCGTGCGGCGTTACCTCGCTCTGAGGCGTTCCATTTAAGGCTTGAAGTGCAAGCGAGAGCGAGCGGAACGAGCGGAACGAGCGACAAAGAGGCACAATCGGCCTCCGCGTTTGACATCTGTCTCTCTCCTACTTGAGTGAGCGATGCGTCCGCGTGGACAGCTGCTATACAATAATACATTTACATGTTTTCGTAAAATGCAACCATTCCATCAGTATTTTCTTTTGACGTTGTCACGTTCAACTATCGTCAGTAAACCGACTTTACAGACAACCGATTTTTTTTTATTTCAATATGGGTATAGGTCCTAGACAACTGGAATAATGAAATATCTTGACATTGTTCTCATCTACTTACATCATCATCAACATCCTTTAATAGTCCACTGCTGGACATAGGGCTAACATAACACTGTATTGGTCGAGTTTGAAAAAGTTTCTATATACTAACGTCCGTAGCTAAGAGGAAGCTTCGCTACGGTCGCTACGCAAAAAATAAAAAACAGATATTTTGAAATAGCTTCACTTAATTTACCTCCGCAGCAAAGCAGAAGCTTCGCTACGAACGTTATGTAATAAATTGACTTTGTAATAGTTCCGATATACTACCACCCGTAGCAGGTCAGAAGCTTCACCACGAACATTACGCAACAAATTTAATTAAAGCAGGTTTTGGTGAAATTTGAAATAGTTTCGGTAGCAAAGCAGAAGCTTCATCATGGACGTTACGCAATAAACTCGATTGCGCTCAATAAATTTCGATGCATTAGCGTCAGTAGCATAATCGAAGTTTTGCTATGGTAGCTACGCATAAATTTAATAACAGATATTAGTGGAATGTGCAATGGTTTCGAAATATTAAAGTTCGTAGGAAAGCGAATGCTTCGCTACGAGTTGAATAATAATTCCATAAGACGGTGCTTAGAGAAAAAAAAATCCCGGGACATCTGATAGGAAGTGACTACCGCCGCCCATAGACATCTGCAACTTAGAAGTCACAAGTGCTTTGGCGCCTTTTTAGTCCTGCCCCATAATAAGGGGGGGGGGGGGGGGAAGAAAAGCAACGAAATAATTGCTTCACAAAGGTTTTCTGTGAGGCCGTGGTATCTCTTCTGTCGATAGTTCAGCTTTATGACTTATATACTGTCAAAAAAGACTCATACACACACATCATATAAATATCTAGATTAGCGATAGCATAAAGTAAAATAAAACCACAAGTGTTTTAAATATATATTTTTCTTATTAATTACAATGTCACATAGTAAAGTAATATTTAAACAATAATACTATGAATAGAAACTATATTAAGATATGATAAATGGACTTAAATTTACGACTATTGACACGTTACATTAACGTCAGTTTCTTACACTGAAGTGAACTAGACTTGAATTGAAGTGTCGTTTTAGACGCAAATAAAAACAAATGGTCCATCTACCTACTCCCATTTATAGCACTATTGTATTTAAAGATACAGACAAGTTATACAACTGCATAAAACCGTTTTTATTTACATAATTTTACAATGCGCTTGAAACAAAGCACTTTATATAAGTTTTACTATGCTTAACGGCAGTCTTAAAATAAATATCTATTAATTACACAAATGTCACGTATTTAAATGATCTAATAAACTATTTTTAAGAATACCCTGCTTCTCTTCTAGTCTTATTTTCTTTACTAATTTCGGGGTGCCCGTATTGACATCGGCTTTACGTTTTATGGTCACCTGAAAAATATAAATTTTATTTATCATTATTAAGATAGAAATAGTTGTTGGTTCATTCATCCGTGTGGTGACGGATTAAGAATACAAATTGTCACCACCCCAATTCATCCCGTGGGTGTCGTAAGAGCCTACTAAGGGAGCAAACTAAGCAGGACAACAGCACTGAAAAGAGAAGGAAAACTTGAAACAAACCCTATACCAACCCGTCTGGCCAGCGTGGTATAGTAGGCCAAAACCTCCTTTCTAAGGAGAGGCCATACATGTCCAGCAGTGGACTAGTATAGGCTGTTGATGATGATGATGATGATGTTGGTTCATTGTACTGTCATTGGTTAGATATCCAGTCGTTAAGGGCTGGCTGCCTCTAACCGTGTCCTGGTCCTGTTAGCGGTAGTATATGGGTTAATGTGTCGGATTATTGCGGTTTCGAAAACACCCAATATACCTTCTACAGACATGAGTAAAAATAAAAAAATAATCGAAATCATCCAAAATCATATGAACATGCTAAAGGCCATTAGCAAAATGTGAAAATTCGTAAAATTTACTCAAAACATTAATTTTTTACTACTGACTAATAAGAGCGTAGCATAAGATAGTGTGGGCTTATGTGAAAAATTGTGATCGTAACTTTAAGTCAACTGTACTCACCTTGGGTTTATCCTCGTCAGGTGTGAGCGCTGCAAAAACAAAGTTTCTTTTACGTGAAGCTAACGAAGAAGTTTTAGGGACATCGTCATCGGCGGCAGCTAGAGGAGTGGCCAGCGCCGCCAGCCGCGCCAGCGCACCGCTGCCGCGGTTGAGCACCGAGCTGTGGTACTTTTGCTGGAAATTTATTTTTTTAAAGTTTAACAACTTATTCTCAGGATTGATTCTTAACAAAACATTGAAAAGTGGTGCTATTTAACTAAGTGCCGGTTGTCGGGATTGAACTAATAGATACTTTTAATTATATTATTTTTTGAGATAATCCTATTGCCAGGCGAAACGGCAACTAACCCACCGATCCCTTGCACGTCCACATCACCATCGAATCACTTGAAGAGCTTTTAAGAGTTCAATACGTTCACATCTCAATATCACTCTCTCGTTACTTATGTAATTTCAGTAGACTTTGGTTTTCGCTATTTTAACAAACAACTGTTCCCATCTATTGTTGGTCAGGGTAACGAATTCGTTTGGAAGAAGTTGGTACTACTAAAATTCTTTGATTAGTAATAAAACTTCAGGTCCAGCCCATAAGCTCACACTAAAGTTGCCATAAAAGCGAAATTCTATTATCAAATATTTTTACCTGTAAAATGGAGAATGATTTCTTAGGGCTGGGGACATCTTTGACAGTTTTTTTCTCTGTCACGATGGGACTGTCGACAGTTTCTGTCTTGGATTGATTGACTTCCATCAACAATGTTGACATACTCTTAGAGATAAGATTGGCTTTGATGATTGTAGTTCTATTAACAGTCACATTTGGGCTCCCCTCTTCTTCATCTTGTTTTTGCTGAAACAAATTAGTTATTAATTACTGCAAAGAGTTGAATATACATTATCAAGTCCTTGTACTTTGAAAACCATTGTTAAACTTTAGTTTCACAGGTATTTTGTGATTGTACAATTTTGCAGTTTGTGTAGAGTACCTAATTATATTGCCAGTTATGATACCATTATAAATGCAACTATGAGTTTACTTTGCACGTACGTGTGGTGACGGATTAAGAATACGTAGTATTATTTCTATCCCTATTCATCCGACTTAGGAAGCAAACTACGAAGCACAACAACACCGCAAAGAGAAGGAAATCTTGAAACAAACCCTATAACAACCCGTCTGGCCAGCTTGGTGTAGTAAGCCAAAACCTCCTGTCTAAGGATAGACCTATGTCCAGCAGTGGACTACTTAAGCACTAACTGCAGAACTTAAAGGACATAGAGCAACAGGAAAAAAGGGTCGTTTAAAAGGGAAAGGTAGATTTTTTAAAATAATATTAAGAATTCACCATTTGCCTCAGGAATACTTCTCGCTCATGTCTTTGTTTTCGCCACTGTTCCTCCGACTCAAACTCCTCCTCCTGCGTATCGGTGAAATCATCAGGAATGGTACCAGACTCTTCATCGCCTATACACAGATATTTTTGTGTAAGTTTAGCTTTTCGTGTTTGTACATGAATACATGTGGGGACAGGATATATTCTTCCGTTTTTTTTGTTTTGACACATATAAAAAGGTGGTAAATGTATGTGTTTACCACTTTTTTGTTGTCAATAATAAATGTGTTTCTTTCTTTTACATATTTTTATACATAGTAGTCATTATTATACATAGTAGGCACTAATACAAAATCCGTGTTTTTAATGAATTGGACTCATTAACCTACAACACAATACTGCATGCACAATATTATGAGTATTGTAAAATACTTTTAGTGTCCGAAAAAGACGTGTTTCAATTAATTTTATGCTTCAAATTCATTTTCCAGCTTTAAATGAAAACACTTTTTATCTGATTTAGTTAAATTGATTCTATTTCGAGTTATATTTTCTTAAAATAGGCACTACGATTACTAAGGTATAGAAGGTACTACTGAGGATTCAACGACAACGACTCAAGTCTTCAAAACTAGCGATAGATCGACTTTTAATTTAATAATATTGTATAGTGACAGAATTACATTTTAAATAAGCGCCACCTAATATCCTTATCACTGACGCCATACGTCAACTTTTGCCAATAAATATCGAAATATACGAGTATATGTATAATAAATGTGTCATCATCTTTTCTTTACGTTCTTGTCTTTATGCAAAATATTGTACTAATCCTATTGCTTTGGTTTACTTTTAAGACACACTAGATTGACGCCTCAAAAAGCATGAGTACATTAATTTATAAACACATTTTTCGAAGTCTCTAAAAAACGTAAGAATTTTAGAAATAATATTTTGCCCACATCGTAAACGATTTAGTTCCGATTTTGCTAGTTTCACAAATCTCACACAGGGCTGCGAGATTCCACACAATTCTTTGTCCAGGGTGGGAATCGAACCCACGACCAGCAATCAGGGTCACTAACCACCAGACCACAAGGCCAGTGACATAATATATTATAGTATTGTATCAGTGAGGTATCAACTTTATTTAGTCTGTTAGCCCGTATTATACCTTCATTTTTCCATCTGAATTTACGTTGTCGATGCCCTCCGCCCAAATCGCCATCCTCAAACAGTAATTCTTGCAACAATCTCACTTCACGTTTATCTTGATCCAGTACATCGCGCCTGAATACAAAATTAATAAAACAACCATAAGCATTGGAAAAGAAATAAGTTACGAAATAACTCCAATTGGTTTGTAAGTTCAATTACAATTTTATTGATTAATTTAATTGAACGTAAACCATTAGCTTGGTAAATAGAATGGTGAAAAAATACATAAGTTCAATTGCAATAATTTTGGGAAAAACAGTTACATCTGCCTTGATGAGTTCTTTCGTGATAAAGAAATAACGATAAATCATACTTTGGTATTCCAGTTTATATGAATATAGGATCTAGTAAAATATTAATTATTGTAAAATACCTTCAGGTAAAAAATTATACATACATGTGTATCTGTCCCAACTCTTTCCGGAGCTTGCCCTGGTTGAAAACTTCATCATCTCCCTCCTCGCGCTCCATCCTGTCAAGTCCATGTTCATCTTCATCTCCAGACCCAACCCACTCATCTTCACTTGTGAGTTCGGCCTCTTGCTCGAAAAAATCATTGGCTTTACGGTTTTTCCTAAGTTTTTCTGGCTTTACTTCAATCTGTAAACACAAAATTAAGACTACACGAACATGCAATTTTTGTCTTACGATATGATGACACTTGAAAGATTAAAAATTATTTACTGGTCATTAAAGGACTTTTTCACAAAAAAAACCATTTGTTGCACTTAGATAAACTGAATGTTATGTTACCAACCTCATTCTCCTCAGAGTCATAATCAACGAATCTCTCTTCATCATCTTCAATTCCTGACACACTATCTACATCTTCCAATCCTAATCCCTCTTCATCGTCATCCTCATCATCTGAAAGTGATAACTGTCACTTAAGTAAATCATCTATATTAATATCAGTGTAACAATTAGTTTAAACACTAAACTCAAGATTGACAAATCTTATTTAAAATATTCATGGTGTTACACAATGTGCTAAAAATAAAAGGCAATATAATAATAATAATAACCTCACACATCTCACACACGGCCGTCTGATCCCAAACTAGGCAGAGCCTGTGCTATGGTAACCAGACTGCTGATAAACATACTTATATATTTTTAAATACATACATATTATAGATAAATTACACTCAGACACAGAACAAATGACCGTGTTCATCACACAATATTTGTCCTGGGTGGGAATCAAACCCACGACCTCCCGGCTTAGCAGTCAGGGCCACTAACCACTAGACCAACAATGTTCACCAGGATATGCCAATATAGTCATCGAGTAGGATTCATAGGGCTCTGGCAAATAGTAAGCAGGAAAGCAGTTCCAGCTTTTAGAGCATTTTACACGACCAAGCAAATACCATACTCTGCAAACACTTGATATAGAAAATAATGAGAATGTTATAAAATCCAGCCAAATGGTCTTTATAGTTTAAAAACTACATGTTATTATAGAACATTATCAATAATCTAAATATTAACCTGAGATTTGCAAAGCCCTTTGTTCTAATTTCTTCTTTTTTAGTTTTTTCTTTTTTGACACATTCGATTCTATATTTATTTCATTAGCTTCATCATCAGAGTCAATGATCAATCTCTTTTTCATATGACTAGTTTCATTAACATCGCTTTTAGTCTGACAGCCTCCAGTGAAGAATTTATTTTGCTTTGGTTGGACAAATTCTGGATCATCCAGCTCATCAATTATAGATTTCAACAGATTTTGATCTTCATTCGTTTTTTTGCTATTCGCTTTCGTAGTTTCATTAATGTGATCTTGTTTACTTTCATCTGAAACATTTGATTTTTCTTCTGTGTTTGATCTAATATTGTCCCCACTTATATCAGATTCTTGACTTCTGTCAATGACATTGTCATCTACATGTTTATCCTGAGATATTGAATCCATAGGTCTTTCATCACTCATAGACACGAATTCATTATCATAAAACTTTCCAGTACACAAAGCTAGAACATCTTCACCAATGGGCTGTGATTGTGAAGACTGGGTGTTGAGCAGTTGTGACCCAGGTATGCTTTGTGAAAAAGTATTAGTTACTTCATTTACAATAGGCTGGAAATAAATGTATTAAAAATAAATAAAACTTTTAGCAGTAATTAAATTACCTATTTATACAAATAAATAAAATTGGAGTGTCTGTTTATAATATTAAAATAACCGCTTTTTAGTAAATGCATATGTATGTTTACACGGTACATATGCCAAAATATCATTTTTTACAATTTTTGTCTGTCTGTCTGTTTGTTCGGGTAATCTCTGGAACGACTGGACCGATTTCGACGGCACTTTCACTGGCAGATAGCTGATGACATAAGGCTACTTTTTTTAGACTAGCTTCGCCCCGCGTCGTTGCCCGCGGTTATAACAACAAACGCGGGTAACACCGCGGGTCTCAGCTAGTTGTGATCTATTTTAACAAGGACTAGAACTGAATATGTTGGTCTCTGAATCTATAAAAATATATAAGGGTCAGGTTGAGTGCAATATGCCTTTTATTATGGAATAGGAGGCACACGAGCACACCGATCACCTGATGGTAAGTGATTACCACCGTCCAAGGACAATTGCAAACTCGAGTCACAAGTGTGTTAACACCTCTTGAGTGAAGAATTGGGGAGAGAGTTATGTTGGGCTCTGGTAACCTCACTCACTCGTTGAAAAACAACGAAAGACTTCCTTCCCTTCTATAATACGCTGGCCAGACAGGTTGGTATAGGGTTTGTGTCAGTTTTCCTTCTCTTTGCAGTGCTGTTGTCCTACGTAGTTTGCTCCCTTAGTCGGCTCTTACGACACCTTCGGATTGACACTCCGTATTCTTAATCCGTCACCACACGGATAAAGTCACCCACAGCGCTCACAAAATAAAGTCACATTTAAATGCTGCTCAATTCCCAATCACATTACTTTATTAATATTGCTAGTTTCACATTACTTTATATAAAATACTAGTTAATTTAATAAAAGCTAAATGTATATATTTTTACAGTTAATATATACTTATAAAGTAATAATAGTTTTATATACATTATAAACACACAACCGTCTGATCTCAAACTTGGTAGAGCCCGCACTATGGTAACCAGACTGCTGATAAACATACTTATATATTTTTAAATACATACATATCATAGAAAAATTACAACCTGAAACAGAACAAATGACCATACTCATCACACAATATTTGTCCTGGGTGGAATCAAACTCACGATCTCCGGCTTAGCAGTCAGACATCAATAATTTTCCACTACTTTGTTTAATTAAATAGGTTTATTCTTGCCTAAAAAGTATAATCTAACAAAACTTACATCATGATATGGCTGTGATGGAAATAAAAAGTTGCTTGGCTTAGCACTGGATATAGAGAATGACTGAGTACCCAGCAAGTCATCACTTGTACCTTTAAGTGTGGCACTTTCTTGACTAGCAAATAAGTCCTCCGATACTGATTTGTGTCTTTGTGCTAACTGGATGACGTCATCTGAAATATTAATAAATAGTTTGAAACATAACAAAGACAGTTTATTAATTTGGAAATAACTAAGTGATTTATTAACTTTGGACAAAGTTTGGAACAGACAAAGACTTTAGTAAACTATAAACTGGACTAATTAAAAAGTACCAGAAAGGCAGTGACTGCTAGAATATGGATTAAATTTGGCGCCCAAAGGGGTAATATCCTGGATTAAGATACGAAAGTTGTTTGGAATAAAAGAATACTATTTGGGTTTATATATTTATGCATTAATTAATCCTTTCATTTGCTTTCTCATTAAGTGCTATTGATAAGAACTAGTCCAATTACATACCTTTTTTTACCTTTATATTATGTTTCAATATGATGCTTACCCTGTGACGAGCTTTGAATATCACAAGAATTTGCTATAACCTCAGCATCATCCGTGTCATTGCTGTTTTTCTGAATAGATACAAGTTCATTTTGAATTGTGTCTTTGGCTGCTGGTTCTCCTTCAACCAATTTTGTGGTATCTTCTTCATCATCTGAATCTTCAAAGGCTTTCAAAATTCTTCCCTTTTTATGTTTGGATGTGTTTTCATCTTCTTCAGACTCTGATGATTCCTCATCTTCACTCGAACCTTCACTGTTATCATCTTCTAAAATATCTTCATCGAGTTCAGTCTCTTTTGGTTCTGTTTCTTCATCATTTTCTTCGACGTCTGATTCTTCAGCTTCGTTATCAAGCATAGGATTAGGATTAATGGGTTTATCTTTAACTTCAATGTCATTTTCGATTAATTCTTCTTCTGTTTCATAGTCTGAAAGATTTTCTTCCTTATCGTCTTTTTGATGCATCTTAGTCTTAATTTTTTCAATACTATCATCAGCTTCTTCACCATCATATAGAATATCGTCCATTTCTTCATGAAGTTTCTTTTCTTCTTCTAGTCGTTTTGCCCATTCTAAGGACCGCTTTTCTGCGATTTTGTCTTCAAGTTCATGTTTTAATTTCAAGTGTAGAGACCCTGGTTTTACCCTGCAAATTAAAACACTTGTAAAAAAATACATTGGATTAATTTTATATTTCTCATTTTTTAGATTTTACATTTTCTCCTTCTCTCGTTCCAGTTCTTCTGTCGTTTTTAGTTTCGAAAAATAAATAAATCTTTCCTTTAAAAGTTCAACACCAGATAGCTTTGGCTTTGAATTTGTACCATCTAAATCTATAACCATTCCAGGTGCTCCTGCCAGTTTAGGCTTTATTGTTAAATGGTCACGAACAAGCATTAAAGCTTCGGTATTTCCGTAGTCATCTGAAACAACAGAATTACAAAAGTAATATTTTATAACTATAAAAAAATTACAATAAAGCTGAGTATAATGTACCTTTCATAATTTCAGCATTTTCAATAATTTTATCAATGTCTTCCATATTTATATCATCATCTGAGAAATCATTTTGTTCATCATTTTTACAATTTTCTACTGGTTTTGAAATAACTAATTTATCTGTTTTATCAATTAAAACATTTGTTTCTTTAAAATTCTCGGAGTCCTGTTCTGTATAATGTAATGATATCAGTTGACTATCTTGTTCTGAACACACTCTAGATATTTGTTCCTGTTGTTCTTTTTTATCAAGCTTACCAAGTTCCGTGTCTGTGTTTTTTACTTCAGCTGTGTAACAAATATTTTCAGTGCTATCTAAATCTGTATTTTTTTCTTCAGCAGAATGATCATTAGTAACTAAATCAATATTCTCTGTTGAGGTTTCTCCATTTATTAATTCATTTACCTCATTATTTTGTTCATCATCATTACATGATGTATCAGGCCTATTAATGTTTGTTGGTATTTCTTTAGCAGTTTCAGTACAAGTTATTGCTTCATTTATATTTGCAGCTGTTTCTTCAGTATTGGGCTCCAAAATACTAGCATTAGTTTCAATCTCTTTTTTGTCTGAATCACTTGGTGCATGAGTTGCAAGCTCTTCATCAGATTCTGCTTTAGCAGTTTCATCTTCTGATTCACTTTTACATAATTCCATCATCTCTTTTTGTCGTTGTTCTAATTGCAAACTGTGAAACATTTCTTATTTAAAATGTGACTTGAACATAATTTACCTAATATTCATTCCTTTATATTTGTTTATATTCTCTTTTCCAAGTTTTTGCAGCTAGCAGCTACCTAAAGTTTTTATATTTTAACTAGCTGCCAGCTGTAGAAGAGAGTAATTAAAATCTGACTGATATTTACAGAGACTAGTGACTAACTGTATTTCTTTTACTGTTAGTCACTAGTCATTTATTAAGTGTCAAATTTAGTTTTTTTTTTTGTTTGGAGTGGATACAGCATAAAATATATCCACTAGTTCTATATCAGCAAATTTTTTAAGGTTTCGAACATCCAAATCCAAAAATGGAACTCTTGCGTCCGTCTGTTACATTAATTTTTTGTAAAGGTACATTTTTCAATATTTCATACACATATTTACATGCTTAGTGTATAAAATGATTTCTATTACGTCTTATATAAGGGGCTGCTAGAAAATTTTAGTAAATTTTTCAATTTCAAGTCTAAACTTTGGAGAAAGTCACATTCCCGGTAACCACCCTCTATGGACAGCGTCTGATAGTTAATTAGGCATAGAACAGTGCAATAGTATAAAGAGCAATTGAGCAGGCGGGTCACCTGATGGTAAGTGACCACCACAGTCCATGGACACCGGCAACTACTTTTTTATGATATAGGGGCAAACTTGAGTGCCCCCAGAAAGGAACTGGGGGTTTTAGACTCTGGTAACCTCTCACTCAATGAAAAACAACGGAAGTGTTATTTAACATAGTTTTTCTCTGAGGGTGTGGTGATTCTCGTAGTAAAAGTTTGATCACAATTCAGTTCAGATCAACTTTAGATCTCACAACTGTCATAAAAGGTATACTCGTAGTAAAATAGTAAAGTATCACTATGACTAGCAGATTGACGATTCAATTTTCGGTTACAATACGATATAATCACATTACGGTCATCAACTCTTAGATGTTTAATACTTTACTACGAGAAATCCCTTTTATGATCTTACAAGAGATAAAAATTTGATCGGAACTGAATTGAGACCAATATATATATATATTTATAATATTAATGTAGTTAATAGGTGTGTAGACAGAAAAACCTAATTTACATAACAACTAATTTAAAAGGTTATGGTATAAAATACTCACGCATATTGTTTCAATTGTTCCTCATTCATTTTGATAGGTAACACTTTTCCATCAGAAGTTACAGCTGGCTTTCTTCTTGACATTATTTCCTTTAGGGTCAAAGCTTTTGGTCTGTGGTATGGAAGTGAAACTGCTTTCTCTCTCAACATGCGGTTAGACTCACTCTTTATCAACTGCCTATTTTCCATGGCTTGTTTAGCAGACATCTTAAATGAAGTAAGTAAAGTATTTAGAAAAATATATTTTGCAGAGTTAGAGAGCAAGAGTGCATCCAGGCGGAAACTTGGAAAAGTCCACTTGGGAGAGATTTATATATGAACACTTCCTAAGCTGCACCAACTAAACTAGTTATGAAAAGAGGGCATGGGAAACCCTGTAATATACTTACCCTCATTGGTTTGGCATCAATCATTTTTGTTGATTTCTGTACTTTCTTCTTGCCTTTCTCCAAACCAGTTTTTTTCTTCCTGTCACTTTCTTCGTCTGATGTATCAGGGTCACAAATAGATGATACTGCCATGCTCTTCTTAATTTTCTATAAAATAATGTTAATAGTTAAATGAACATAGTGATTATATGTTTGTTACAATACCCCATATCATCGCTTTAAGCATACCTTTGTACATTCAATTCTCCATACATTCAATATGTGAGTGTTTTTGAGTAGAATTTATAAATTTGTAGATATGGATATAATTATTGCAAAATAATTAAACGCTTTTAGCAGAAAGCTTATAAACTCAAAGTCTTTGAGTTTATAAAATGATTAAATCACATAACTCCACTTCAGTCAATATGTTTTACATTGTCTACAAAAGCATTTAAATTGAACAGTGTATATGACTTATTTTAATCATTCTGATGGAACTTACATACTTTCTCCTACTAAAATACACAGCTACTGGACTGGACTTAAGATTATAACAAATAAATATTTAAACCCTAAGTATTACTGACCTGTTTAATACATGCAATAGAAGACATTTCGCTGTCAGAAGGTTCACCTGATTGCTCGCTTCTTTCATCTTCTGAAGTTTGTTTATCACTCAAATTTTGAGGATCTACATTTTTAGATCGTGAACTGAGGAGGCCTTCAAACTTTTGTTTTAATTTACTTCTCTTGTTTTTCATTCTTATTTGTTGCTCCACATTTTTCAAAGTTGAAACGCTAGCAGGAGTTTCGTCTTCCGAACTACTTCCATTCATAACAATTCTAGATTTAAGCGATACATTTTTGGATTGAACATGGGAGGCATTTGTATCGGACTCACTATCGCTTTTAGTTAGGGGAGACTCATTATGCAAGTTTTCTTTTTCAGTCTCACTATCAGATAAATTATGTAGGCGCTTCTTGATTCTCTCCGTCGGAGCTTCATCATCATCACTGGAGTTACACACATTTCTTGAGTTACCACATTGTGATGATTTTCCGTCAGGTGTATACTTTGTTAAGTTATTTACATCGCCGAAATCATTGACATTGGTTTTTGTAATTACACTGTCGTTTGTTGATTCATCCATTTCTGTTGTTTTAAAAAGGCCGTTTTCGTTTGTGGAATAAATATATAGCTTAAAGTACAACGTTATTAGCAACAGTCAATATAACGTTAAAATTTTCGGTCAACATTACTCATTACACGGAGTTGTATAGCTCAAAATAAACAATTAGTAGGACATTAAAAAAAGAATTTGAAAGCCTGCCGTCTATTGTCCATGCATTTGGCGCCAAAATCTGACAGATTACACCTGACAATGACAACCTGATATGGACAGTTTTTTTTATATACCAAAAAAAAATATTGCAGCGATCCGTTTGACACAGTTACAATATTGAAACAACAAAAGTCTCCTTTTAATAAATTTAAAAATGACTGTACATAAAGTGTTTAATAATACATACTTTTTAAAATCGAGCACTTTCTTTCGAAATCAATTCAGACTTCTTTGCGTACCCATTTCTCTTCTAACTCTTTCCCATACGTTATTGAAAACGGCCGCCTACCTATCCTTAGTTCTCATTACTAAGGTTAACCAAATCTATCTTTTTTCTCTTACTTAGGTTTCAATAACCTACCGGCAGATAGCATCTCGATGCAGACCTACCGGCAGATATTTATCTGCCTTTGGGAGGACGGATAGTTAAATAAAGAAAAGAACTTACATAGTCATCGGCTTAACTTGTATTTCAATATAAGTTTGGAGTTACTCTCCGATAAGCGTAGTTAACTATAGTAACATCATTTGTTTATATGTCAACATCGGCCAGTTACGCGGGCAGAAAGAATTTCGAAAATAAATAACTTTATAATGAATATAAAATAATGGAAGGTTTTAGCAGTGATGATAGCGACATGGCATTATTATTTGAAATAATTATGGATTATGACCTTTACAGAAGGAATATAAACCACATGTGAATTTACAAATTTAAACGTATTTTAAACGTAGCTGCGCCGTGGTTCGTCGGGAACTTGAAACTGACGAATTGAAATCAACAGCTAATGTTTGCTAAGCTAGGTGTTTCATTTTGTTATTAGTGCCATTTGTCAGCCTTGGATCTAGGATTTTTTTTAAGCCGGGGCAGACACTTCATTATAGCGCCCCTCTTTCCAGCGTTTGAAATAAATAACTTAAAAAACTCACAAATATATAAAATGGTTGGCATTTTTCATGATTGAGACAATAATATATAGGTTCTTATAAGAACCCTTTAATAAATTTGCACTCTTTAAGTGCAAATTTATATTATTTAACATGTTTCACTCAGTTATTTATTTATTGACAAGTTATTTATTTGCTGAATACGTGCTTGTAGGCCGCTGTATTTACCACTTATCTTGCTGTCGTTATCATTGCTTTATCCATGACAATCTTTGATATCAATGGCACTCTTACTCAAGAATTTTAATAATTTTTCTGCAAATCGTTCAGCATAATCTTTTATGTCCAAGAACTTAACAAATCTTTCCACTGGTCCAGATGGCAGAATAATATTTTGCCATCTAGACCAGTGGAAAGATTTGGAGAGAAGTTGATCTACATGAGATATATCGGGAGTAAAATCCAATGACACTGAGTAGTATTTGCAGCTATTAGTTTCGCAAATAATTTGATCCAGTATATTTAATGCAATTAGAAAGAAAGAAGAAGAAAGAAAAAAATACGTTTACGTAATTAGATTGATAAACGTCTCACATGTTGTTTTTCATAAATATGAGATATGCTCCTTTCCTTTGAATATGTTGTGCCATTAAAGAATCAAATTTGGTGATTAATTCTAATGAACCACAATAGATAGATAAGTAGATACCTAAATTGATGAATGACCCTCAAGGTCAAAAAGCGTTGGTGCCCCCAAATGCGCGGGGCCCGTAGCATTTGCTACTTTTCCTACGTGGCTAATCCGCCACTGAGTGTGCGTGTACGTTAGAGGTGATATCAGTTCGAGCCGCCTCAGCAATCTTGAAGGACGGGACCTATCCATCTTGTGGCTCCGTGTAGACAGCGACGACCATCCTCGCGTCTACGCATGCCTCTAGAGGTCTCATAGCGGTGACACCGAAACTGACCGACTAATGGACCACGTCCAAATGGCTGCAGATTCTGTGCTGCAGCAGATCCCATCCGCGGAGATCGTGATACTTGGCGACTTTAACGCTCACAACGCCAAAGGGCTTGGCTCATGTAATGCCGATCACGCGGGGAGATCTGTTCACGATTTCGCCCTGACCTACGGCTTGTCACAACTGGTATCAACATCCACGCGAGTTCCAGATGTGGAAAGTCATGGTCCTTCACTGTTGGACGTTCTGCTGACCTTTGAAGACGGAAACTTTTCAAGAGGGAAAAAAGGTTGGTAACAGATAGATAGATAAAATAGGTAGATAGGATTTATCCTCGATTATGAAACTCAAGTTAAGGATAGATAAGATCACGCAGCAAATCGGAGATAGCGATCAATCCTTAACTGGAGGTCGGTCAATGGAAACGGCCGTAACAATTACATTATTTTTTGTATTTTTGCAGTTCGGCTATGGAATGCTTTTAGTATGCAAAACGCGATACCCCTCTAGGTGTATTCAGGTAGAGATCCTTTCAATTTGAGAGAGATTGTGCCGATCAATTTTCGATCTCACAACTGTCATAAAAGGTAATTTCGTAGTAAAGTATTTGTTCGTAAAAAGTTGACTGTTGATGTGATTATAACGCATTGTAACCGAAAATTAATTCGAGAATCTGCTAGTCTTACTAATACTCTACTATGAAAATACCTTTTATGACAGTTGTGAGATCGAAAGTTGATCGTAACTAAATTGAGACCAAACTTTTATTACGAGAATTAGCCTTCAGGCTATTAGTAGGTATATTGTATGTTTGTGTAGTTTTTTCAACTTATTTCTACATCCATTTTGACTTTGCCTTTTTTTCTGCTACCCAAAACCTACTCCCAAGGTTTGCAGGGTTCTCATGATAAATGATTAAGCAAGTTTAAAAAAAGAGAAGAGTTTGTAAAAACGTTACCCATCACATACATTACATTAAATACATGTGGGTCGAGTGTTTACTAATTTACAACAGGCTTAACCCTTAAACGCATAGTGTCCCAAAATTGAATCACCAAATTAAACCACCAATATCCGTCCATAATATTTGTGTTTGATACATTAGGCTGTATGAAATGTTTCTTTTGCTCCTTCTCTAACCATAGAATAACTCAACTAGTGACATTTTGTGTTGTTATCTGTGGCTGATTGACATTTGACTTTTTGGCGCGCATTTCTCAAATAGGTTTGAGTTGAGTGCACTTTGGCGACATATATCACGAAGTTATATGCTGATTTTGGAGAAAAAAAAATTGTTTTCTAAAGGTAATGACTATTATTTATACAATAACTTATCCTTTTTTCAATTTACCATAATTGTTATATGAACAGGAAGCTTTTTTGTTTTGATGCAAAAATGGGACAGCATGCACTATTGGTAAAAATTACTACTGCTATTTGAAGCTATACATTTTGTGATTTTATTTATTTTGCTTTGGTGAGGTATGCATGTGGTTGGTTATTTTGTTTTAGAAATGGCAGAAAATAATAGGAGAGATGGTGACATTGAGTTTTGGTTGCGCCAGCTAGAAGATGGCGCCATTTCTGAAGACGATTTCGAATCGGACGGTGACGAACTTGATTTTTATCCTACCCAACAAGATTTACTAGATGTTTTAGAAAATGATGATGACGACGGTGAGGCTAGGTCTAATGATAATAACGAAGAAATTATACCCGATCCTCCTATTGTAATAGCGGATGCTGTTCCTTCAAATAATAATGATGCACCGGTACATTCTTTAGACATTCAGAGGTTGATATGGAAAAACCAACCTCTGCCATTCAACGAAAATGCCATAAAATTTAATGGAACTGAAGAATACCCTGAAAGTTTGATGAACCTTCAGACACCTTTCCAATTTTTTTCCTACTTTTTTACTGAAGAATTTCTTTCACAATTTGTTACTGAAACAAATAATTATGCTGTACAAAATAAACCTGATAGACCTGACGTTATAACATTAGGAGAACTGCGAAAATATCTGGGAATCTTGATTTATATGAGTGTCTACCACTATCCAAGTGTACGTGGTTATTGGGCTAACAAGCACGGGTTTGAGGCAATTATAAAAGCGATGCCTGTCAATAAATTTGAAAAAATAAGAAGAGTACTTCACTTCAACGATAACAATAAACACCTACCAATAGATCATCCCCAGCATGACCGACTTCACAAGCTACGCCCTGTAATTGAACATCTCAATACCAAGTTCTCCAGCATTCCAATCAGTCAGCGCTTATCCATCGATGAGCAAATGTGTGCCACCAAGATGGGCCATTTTTTAAAACAATACTTGCCTAATAAACCCCATAAATGGGGTTTTAAATTATTTGTATTGTGTTCTCTGACAGGTTTTGCTTATCGCTTTATAATTTACGCTGGCAAAGAAAAAGATGATCGTTTGCCTAACGAGCCTGATATAGGGGTTGTATCACAAACAGTGATAAAACTTGCTAGAATAATTCCCAGACATGCTAATCACATTATATACCATGATAATTTCTATACCACATTGCCCTTGATGTATTATTTTGCTAAAGAAGGAATACAATGTGTAGGAACTGTTCAAAGAAACCGCCTAGGTAAGAAATGTAAATTACCCTCAAAGCAGGATGTAATGAAAAAACAAGTGCCAAGAGGGTCGTATGTGGAATATATTACACATATTGATGGGGTCGACATGTCTTCAGTGAGCTGGAAAGATAACAAACAAGTAGTTCTGCTCTCGACCTACGTAGGAGCTGAACCAATACAGTCCATCGAACGGTATGACAAAACAGAAAAGAAAAAAATAATTATAGACTGCCCAAAAATAGTCAAAGAATACAACGCCCATATGGGGGGCGTTGATCTCATGGATTCATTTTTGGGCAGATATAGAATAAAAGTCAAGACCAGGAAATGGTATATGAGGATTTTTTACCACCTTTTAGATTTAACTACAGGGTGGCGCAATAGAACGTGCATATTGCATCATCTTTTTTCGCGGGGTAGAAAGTGCGCGGGCGGGGGGAGCCTGCATCGTTGGGTAGGCGGGCTCATGGAGTTTTAGTCACTATGAGTCACTTCGACGGGAAGCGTCGCGCATTTTGCGTGCGCGCATTTTACGAGAACTCTCGTTCATACATCGTTACTAGGCGTTTATATTGTTCTGAATATGGACTACGGCAAATTAGTAAAGCTCCGAGTGCTAATTTAATTAAAATATGGGTACAGCGTTTTGAAGAGACTGGTTCAACGTTTAAACCACAAGCAAAAGGTTGTCCAAGAACATCTAGGACCGACGACAATATTGAGAGAGTTATGCAGTCTGTACGAGGAGATCCACAAATGTCTACTCGTAAGAGATCGTCTGTCTTACACTTATCGCGACGAAGTTTGCAATGAATTTTAAACTTGGATCTTAAACTGCATCCTTACAAGCTGCAGTTAACACAAGAATTGAAAGAGTCTGACTTCGGAGCAAGGCTCGCATTTGCTAATGAAATGCTTAATCGATTTTCCAATTTTGACAATATCCTTTTCTCAGATGAGGCCCACTTCCATATCAATGGGTTCGTAAACCGTCAAAATTGTCGTTACTGGAACAGTGAGAATCCCAAACTCAAGCACCAGAAACCACTGCATAGTCCTAAAGTGACAGTATGGGCAGCAATCTTGCGATGTTGGAAGGTTTTTTGGCTCCAGAGCTTGAAAATTCAAGAATAGTGAATTCTAGGACTTGGTTTCAACAAGACGGAGCTACCTGTCACACATCAAATGACTCCATGGCGGTTGTGAAACAGATGTTCCCTGGCAGACTGATTTCGAAAAGAGGTGATATCCCATGGCCCCCACGTAGTCCAGACGTGACGCCTCCTGACTTTTTTTTGTGGGGATACCTCAAGAACAAAGTCTACAGTAATAATCCGAAAAACAACGATCAGCTCAAGGAGAATATCCGTGGTGAAATGGCAGCAATTACACCAGCATTACTGAAGAAAGTTTTCAATAACTTCCGTTTGCGATTAGAGGAGTGTCGTCGTAGATAGGGTCATCATTTAGACGATGTTATTTTTAAAAAATAAACTTCAGTTATTTCTTAATAATACCTCAGTTTTATTTTAACTATACCTTTTGTATTTATTTTCTAATCAATATTTTAAATATGCACGTTCTATTGCGCCACCCTGTATTATAAACTCTTGGGTTCTATACAAAACTGTAGAGACAAGAAAAGGAGCAGATCCAAAGAAGCTGAAAAATCTGTCAGAATTCAGGTCAGAGCTGGCTGATGTCTTATGTACCTATGGTACTACGACCCAGCCAACAAGAGGACGTCGTCCTAGCAACAGCAGCATCACTGAAACCATAAAGGCAAAAAGAAAGAAAGGGTGCCAGGTTCTTCCACCGTCTGACGTTCGGTTAGACAATCTTGGTCATAGCCAAATTAAAACCGACCAACGCATGAGGTGCAAGAGACCTGGCTGTAAGCTACAGAGCTTTTTAAAATGCACAAAGTGCAATGTATTCCTTTGTGCAAAGAAAGGAAACGATTGTTTCAACTTATTCCACAGTTAATTAATAAAAGCATTTTTTAAGACTATTTTGCATAATGTCCCAAAAATGCATCAACTTGATTTTTTTATTAAAAACCTATAAAATTAATTGTTTTTTTTTTATTTTTTTTTCCCTTTTTCACAGCTTCTAAAGAATTGAAACCATTTTTTTCAGTACAATTTATTAATTCATGCATTTAAGGGTTAAAGGATTGGGCTTAAAATAAGAACTGCAGATTTCTAAATTTTTTGTTCTTGTTTTGTTTCTAAGTGTAATTTTATAAACAGTTATATTAAATTGAGTAAATTCAAACAATAATAAATAAAATATCCTAGTACTCTGTATAATAGTCAAGGCCATTTGCCGTTTCACGCGCTAGGTTCTTTCTTGGATAGACTGCCTCACAAATAACTGCCTCTGCTGTAGTTAATAGTGACGCAACACCACTGGCATCGGTCAAAGCCCTTCTTACAACTTTAGTAGGATCTATTATACCTCTTTCAATCATATTAACGTATTCATTGTTTAAAGCGTCATATCCAAAGTCGGGGCCCAAGTCTTCCACTTTGGAGACTACAACTGATCCATCATATCCAGCATTAGAAGCAATCGTTATGCAAGGTGTACGAAGGGCGTTCTTCACAATACTTATACCAATAGCTTGGTCTCGGTTGACTGGCTTTAGTTGATTAAGAGCTGGAATGCATCGAAGGAGAGCCGCTCCACCTCCAGGTACAATCCCTTCTTCAATGGCAGCCCTTGTTGCATTTAATGCATCATTTACGCGATCCTTTTTTTCATTTACCTCCACTTCATTACTGCCCCCAATTTTGAGCACAGCTACACCGTTTTGCAATCTTCCTAATCTATCTATTAGGCGTTCTCGATCGAAGTTGCTAGGAACTGCTTCCAATTCTTCTTTTATTTGATCAATCCGTTGTCTTACTTCCGTCATGTCACCTTTTCCTTTCAGTAAAAGGGTTGAATCTTTTGTAATTGTTATTTCTCCGACTTGGCCAAAACTTTCTAACTGACAATCTTCAAGTCTAATTAAATTTGCATCGTCTTCAAAAACTATACCTCCAGTAGCAGCAGCCATATCAGCTAGGGAATGTTTTCGATGCTCCCCAAATCCCGGAGATTTTATCGCACATACGGGTAAACCAGCTTTTAACTTGTTGACTACTAATACTGATAAAGGTTCACCGTCAAAATCCTCTGCAATTATGATGAGCGGTTTTTTGTGTGCGTTGGCGATTTCTAGAGCTGGGACTATCTGCTGAGCATTAAATATTTTTTTCTCAGAATACAGGATTAATGCGTCGTTATATTCAACTTTCGGTCCTTTAGTTGAATTTATAAAATATGGTGACACAAAACCGCGATCAAATTTCATACCCTCAATTATTTCTAGTTCATCGTCTAAAGTCTTACCGTCTTTAACTGTGATTACCCCTGATTTACCTACTCGGTTCATTGCCGCTGCAATCAGCTTTCCGATATCTGCATCTCCGTTTGCTGATATTGTAGCCACCTGAATGATTTCTTCTGTTGTGTTGACTGGTTTGGAAATTTCTTTTAATCTCTTTTTTACAGTTTCTACAGCTAACATAACTCCTTTCCTTATTTCTATTGGATTGGCTCCCTTAGAAATATTTTCAAAGCCTTCCTTGGCTATGGCTCTTGCTAATACTGTTGCAGTAGTAGTTCCATCTCCAGCCTCTTCATTCGTTTTATTAGCCACATTTTGAACGAGCTTAGCTCCCACGTTTTGAAATTTATCTTTCAATTCTATTCCTTTGGCTACGGTTACACCATCTTTGGTAATTTTTGGAGGTCCCATCGGTTGTTCAAGAATCACATTACGGCCTTTTGGGCCCATGGTGACTGCCACAGCATCTGCCAGAATATCCACGCCTTGAAGCATAAGAGATCTGACATCAGGACCAAATCTCACATCTTTGGCATAAGAACGATAGCTCAATTTAAAAACATTGTAATCAAATCTTATAATTTGTGGTAACCGGTACATTTTGGATATTTTTGTTATAGATATCATAAACGTAAAAATGAAATGCTAATCACAATGCGCGTAATATTCGTTTAAATTTAGAATAGGTTTCAAAAATAAAACATGATTTAAATTTAAAAAGGTTGTATACTAATAAAAAAATCTGTGTATATTTATAATCGAAGGAAGAATTTATTTACTAAAGAGTAGCAGTTATTTAAAAAGAAATAAACATCTATTAATGTACAATGAATTTCGATGTTAAAATGGAATAGTCAAGATATGTAGCACCAGTAACCCAAATCATCAGATATTACTACAGTAATATTTCCCCCAGCCTAGATAAAGTCTAGTCTAACGTCTAGGCTCTCATATAGTGTGTTTCTGTTATATTTCCCATGATATTAACAAATCACTTCAAAGATTATTTCATATACAGGCCCGCTGCTAGCTGTTTCACCGCCTGCGTGCAATGTCGATTAAACCGCCTTTTTTTGTGCGGAAATCCTCCTTCGGATACCTCCCACCTGATGATCGGTGGGGTGGTTATGTCGGACTCAAACCGGCAAAACCGCACGCTTTCTCGAGTACTAGTAGCCAGAGAACTAGTTGTAACCTACAAAGGAAATCCCTGATACCCTGATGGCCCCCTCGTGTGTGGTGACCACGGTTCATGTGTATTCCTGCTTCTAAACGTTATCTGGAGCACGTCGCGTCACCAGTCACCCCAAAGCCTGCGCTTATGGAGAACGCAGATCATTCAGCGACCTCCGGCGCTTGAGCTTGTTCTCGTGTTGTTGTACTTGTCCCATTCTCAGGCCTGGCGAATCGGGTTCTAGTTCGAAGCCCCCAGTCCCGCTCTGCCCTCTCTTTCGCAAGCATAACTTGCTCGCAGATGGAGTTAGCGGATTTCCATGCGCACTCGGTCTGTACCAATGCCGCAAGCAGTCACGTGGCCATGCCTCTGCTTCACTCCACTCCATTCATGCCAACGCGTGAAGCATCGTGTCTTTGGCGTGGTTTCCTTGTGAATCAGACACAGGTGATCTCCAAAGCATCCTTTGCGTCCGCCAGTATGTGAGGGTCTTGTGTTTCGCTGCAATAACGGCGTGCAAGGATTTAGCCGTCCTATGATTTCCCGAACGTAAAACTATCGCCCCGTATGGGATATTCGGAATCCCGAGTCGATTGATTCAAATTATTCATACGTTTTATGAAGTAATGCGAAGCTTATTGTAAACTTTTTTCTTTTTTTTCCACGTCCTTAAAATGCTACCCGTGTGACGTGCACGCTCTGCACACCTGATCCCCCCACGACCTGTTTATATTGTTCACATCTAACCAATGGCAAACAAATCAAATATTATAACCACATCTTCTTACATAGTCGCTTTGTCGCAAAATTTGCAAATTCAATAATTTTCAATATAATGTCACAGATTAAGTAAACGTATTGGTGAATTTTGAAGGTATAAAAAGGCTCTGTCTAGGCATGGTGTTGATTCCACAATCTCAGGGTGGATCGACAGCATGCTAAGATATAGAGCTATACAATTCACTGTCAGCGAAGTGACTAGAGGAGTGGTGGCTAGAGGCTGCCCCCAGGGCGGTGTACTCTCCCCCCTTCTATGGAACATTGTTGTGGATAAGCTCATCGCACAACTTAATGATCAAAGATTCCTCACAATAGGCTATGCAGACGATCTTACTATTCTCATCAGCGGTCCTTTTGAGAGCATTACATGCGATCAAATGAGACTTGCACTGAAGATCGTGGAACAATGGTGCGTAGCACACAACCTGACAGTGAACCCATCCAAAACAGAGATGATCATGTTCACAAACAAACGCAGCCTAGGAAATCTCAGACTTCCCAAGCTATTTGGAACACAACTTACTCTTACCAAAGAGGTCAAATACCTAGGAGTAATACTGGACAGTAAACTCCTGTGGAATAAGCACCTCGATGAAAAACTGAATAAAGCCTGCATTATTTTCTGCCAATGCAAGCGGCTACTCGGCAAAGCTGGGGACTATCACCCAAAATTACTTTATGGCTATACAGGACAGTCATAAGACCAATAATCACTTACGGTGCTGTTGTCTGGTGGCAGAGAACAGAGCTAAGCACCGTCATAAACAAACTGCAGCAATTCCAGCGACTCCCATGCTCCGCGGTCACTGGCTGTATGCGGACAACGCCTACTGCCGCACTGGAGGTGGCTCTTGGTCTGCCACCCCCGGATCTATTCATACAGCAGGAGGCCGCCATGGCGATCATTAGACTCAAACACCTGGGTCTATGGCACAAAAGTGAGGGATCGCACTCTAAATTATGGGATCAATTGGTGGAATACGAACCACTGATAGCAGCTCCATGCGATAGAATCCCAAAACACCATATCTTCACAAGAAGATACTACATCCAGATACATGGAAATGACCGAGATCAATCCGGCATTAACGAAGTACGAATTTACACGGACGGTTCCAAGACTAGGTCAGGAACTGGAGCGGGAGTTTTCTCGCAAGACCTAAATATAAACATATCACTAGCGTTAGGCCAACACAGTTCCATATTTCAATGTGAATGTGTGGCAATAACTTACGCTGCCACAACGGCCATGTCAAGGGGTATCAAGGACTACAACATCCGATTAATATCCGACAGCCGTGCCATGGCCGTCTTAAAGGCATTGGAGGGCAACACAATGACCTCTGGTATTGTCTTCGAATGCCACCAAGCACTGGAACAGCTCGCTATATTTAATGGGGTAATCCTCCAATGGATTAAAGGGCACAGTAACGATGCCGCAGATGAGTTTGCAAGGAGGGGCTCGGCAACCCCAACCTCTGGCCCAACCCCACTCCTGCCCATATCGTTTACCCAAATACGATGCTGGGTCAAGCAACGGACCTGCGAAGCACACAACCGAAGGTGGAAAAACTCACCCGGCTGCAGACAGTCCAAACTGGTGCTGAATCAAGTCACACCACGACTCACCTGCAGACTGATCAGTCTTAGCAGACCGGAAATCAGAATGGTTGTCGGAACTATTACAGGACATCTAGCCCTGAACCGACAACTAGTCATAATCAATGCGACGGACAGTCCCCTGTGCAGGGGATGTCTGGAAGCTGAAGAAACGGCCGTCCACGTAATCCTGGAATGCGAGGGAGTGGCCACACAACGGGCAAGTATCATTCCTGATATAAAGTCGCTCCTAGAAGCCTGTGAACGCCCCAGGAGGCTTCTGCGCTTCTGGAAGGAGCTTGGCTGGCTCACCTAGTCAACCAATCCTCGACGCATAAAGGACCACTCTGAGTCTAAATGCGGAAACCGAAGCCCACAACCAAGAAGGTATAAAAATAATATTTTCCTGTCAAATCTGTGGGTTTTTTATTATAGCTCTATGAATATATACACTTGAACCATTGCTAAATATGCAAATAAAAATGCTGTATACATTGATAAAAGAAAAAATAGGTAGAGAAAAACATGTAGAGTACATGAAATTTCTAGGTTCACAACTAGCATGAACATAAAATATACAAACAAAAAATACTTTTGTTTCTTTTTCACAGGAGACAATTTAAAAAAACATATCCGCGTTACAGCAAAAAGCAAGTTATTCTTACAACAATGACTTAATAATCAACAATATTTGTCTGTCTGATCTTTGGTACAAGATAAAATAATTCCTGTAGTTTACCGGTATTGTTTATATATTGAATGCGATCATTACAATACAACACTTTGTTGTGGACGGAATCATAGTCATATTTGCTCTTCTACTTCCTTTATCCATGGCTGATGGCTTTACTTATCAATATTTGAATAATAATTGAGACATGACAAGGCATGAAAAATGCCATAGTTATCAGTCTGTATTTCGATTAAAGCTTTTTTATTCATTGATTGATTTGTGCTGGATAATGTTACTATCCTGATTCCTGATGTTTTAAAACTATTGATTCAGAGTACCTATTGATTAAAAAAATTCTAAATGATATGTTTGTAGATTTGGCTTGAAAAATCGTAGAAATCATTTATTATCTATATTAAAATATTTATTTTGTTTTATCTATGGGTTTCCTATTCCACAGAGTACAGTAATAATTTTCTATTTTTTTGAAATATAACGGGTGTCAAATTTAATTTGTCTTAATAACCAAAAATCTGAATTCGCAACATCCAAATAAATAATTTAAGTATCTAAATATGAACTCGTCAAATAAGCCCATAATTGTCAATCTAGAAATCGGTGATCAACTCACAGCCATCTCATGTGGTCATATCATTGTGGAGCTAGTGAAGTTCATAACATATCAGAGACTGCAAATACCATACACGTATCAATGGTTAAAACAAGTGGTAAACAGAAAAAGGGCATGTGTAGACGAAGACACGAAGGATAGTTTTCAATCTCAAATACATTTTCGTACTGTATCTACAGCACTAGAAAATTTGGATTTTATATTAAAGGTTGGAATTTCTCAACTTTTAATGCTTACTTTTATATTAAAACTACTGAAAAGTGGGTGTTACCTTATCACCATACCATGCGTGACCTGTATAATGTTTTTGACATAGTGAATTTTATTTAAAAGACTAATAATAACTATTGTCTATTTTGTTTTGCAAAGTATCCTTCCTTGTTACAATGCTAAATAGTTTTACAAGAGTTAATTCTGGTCTTAGGCTGTAAATGTGTTTTTTGCTTGTGTGTAAAACCATTAATAATAACAATGTACCTCACACATCTCACACACAGCCGGCTGATCTCAAACTAGGCTGAGCCTGCGCTATGGTAAGTCTGGTTACCATACTGGTTACATACCATACCGTAAGGCTGATAAACATACTTATATAATTTTAAATACATACATATTATAAATAAAATACACACAGAGACAAAACAAATAAATTATTCTTATTTTAAATAAATTATATAAACCTTATCTTTTGCGGTAAAAATATATAGCTAGTAATAAAATATAACAACTTCACAGTTCATCTGACTAGTTTCTCCAAAAGTTGCATTCTCAGGCTATAATATACTAGATTTTATCTGTGGCTCTGACTGCATGTATGTTAACGATTGTGGTAAAAATTAGCCTCCTCCAGAATTAAAGTATCTCCATGCCAAATTTTATTAAAAAGCATGAAAGTGGCATGACATGATGGACAGAGTTACTCTCACATTTATAATAGTAGGGATTAATTATTTTATGTATTGCTATAATTAGTTATAGTTTTAGTTACTTAGGTATTTTTGTTACTTAAATTTTAAGAAACCTCTAGCTCTACTATTTAATGTATTTATGAGTACTTCTGTATTTTACTCATCATCTTTTCTTTCAGAGTCTCCAGCAAGAGATCAACAGCCCATCGTTGCCCGATGAAGTGTGTATAGCCCTTGGAGCTACACCAGTGACTTGTAAAGAAGTGTACAGAGTCCTCTTGCCAATGGTGTGTCATAAGCCTCAATGCCATTCCACACAAATTGCTAATGATCAAAAAATTCATAACAGTGTTTTTAGGTAATAATATTTATTGACTGACTCAAATTACAGGCTTTACCTGACTATTTATTTTTACTTTTTGGCTTATCACCATTTGTTAATACTGGTTAGATTAAACAATAAACCATTTAAAAAACAAAGGAATAGTAAATGTTACATTTGTTTTTAAAAAAACAACTTGTTTTCAAATGTAAGCCTCATCCATTTAAATATAACATTTAACATAATGATTTCTTCTTTTCAGGACTCTGGTGACATCGGAGAAATTGAGTCATGTTTTCTTTAACCAAATTGCACCAACAAATTTGTATGTTTTTATAAAGAAAAAAGTGCTAGGGCACCTAGACAACATTATGAATAGTGATAATTTTGTGTTCACTAGTGGATGTCGAATACCACGCAACTGCAAAATAATTGTGATAGATTTAAGAACAAAAGCTTTGGACAAAATCACGTGTTGTAATGAATTTAATGTATTTGGTGATATTGTTAACGACGATCTAAACAATTTGCAGTTAGAAGATACAGATGAAAATGATGTGTACCATGAGATTGAGTCGAACGATAATTTGAAATGGTATCAATCATCATATGTGATGAAAGGGTTCAAGGACTGCATTGTAAATGGAAGTTCCATTACTAATTCATGGCTCAATTCCTAAAGTGAAGTGGGCTTCGCATGTATTTATAGTTATTGTTAGAAAACAAATATGTTAGTGAAAGACATCACATTATTTCTATTTAAAGTGTCATAGTTGTAGATGGACTGGATGAACAAAGATATGACTTGTTATTAACATTTATCATTAAAATCATCAAATTATTTATACCATTTGATAATTTCCGACTACACATTGGTACTATTGTAATGCACTTATGTCTGACCATAGTAAATTCAGCAAAAATCCACTAAAATGTTTTTGTCAAGTTTTAGAAGACTGAGTGATTTATAGTCCATTAATGCCTCAATTCGAATATAAGTGCTAAAATTAATGTATCTTATTTAAAGTAAATTTTTTATAAGCCATAATCCTAATGATAAGCTCACAGACATGATTTATGTTTAAAAATAATAATATTATTTTCACTAAAATTATTTTTATAGTTATACAATTACTTAGTGATAAATTGTTATAATATTAGTGAAATCATTTTTATTGACTTACCTCTCAGAATTTAATAAATCGCTGTGCCATATGTATGAACTTTAATCGTAATGTTGATTAAGAATAAGTTGACAAAATAAATTTAATTGCTATACATCTTTTTTAATCAATTTTTAATTAAAATACCGTTTAATAGCACTTTCTTAGCACTGACTTCTCTCATCTCACCATAAAAAGTTGTAGCCGCTTTTCTTCTCAGGCGGACTACTCACCGGCTGACCCAGTGGAGAGATTTATGAGATTACCTCAGGGCGCCTTCTAAGAGAACAGAAGTGTGTGCGTGTGGGAAACCTACGGGATTCCTTAGAGGAAAACAACTTACACCTCAGTCATACATACATGTATATTTCAAAAAAACAAAATTAAAGTTACAATAGAAAAAATAAATAAATTAATCAGTGGGTACAAGAAAAACCGCAGTGGAGCGCGTCAGAGCCGAGCTGATGGTGCTCGGAGCCTCCTCGTCTTCACTCCAGGAGGTCACTTCCCCTTCCGCCCGAGTCGGCTATTTATATTAGATATTGAGAAAAGTTCACTGTTGGTATTTATAAAGATAAATAGAAGTACGTAACCCTTGGGTACGGCTGTCCGCTTGCTTCGTGAGCCGCGTGACTGCCAGCTTGCCAGAGGGTACCGAGAAACTTGAATTCGAACCAGAAGGCCACAAACGAACAAGCACGCCGTCTGAGACTGACCGTCTTGACCCCGAAATATGGGACCCTACGAATGGATTAGCACTCATATTATTGATCAGGTTCCAGAAACAAATAGGTACAAGAAAAATTAAGACCATACTCACCACTTTCGTGGGTACTTTTGAACAGATAATATATTACGAAAATCAAATCACACGACAATCAAAACACTATTTAAGATTGGAAGACACGAGATAGCAGAGTGTCTCCCGTGGCTGAAAGCCGGACTTATATATGTTCGGTTTCCGAAGTTTCCAGAAATAATCTCTTCTTAACATTTTACTTTGACATTTAAATTATCAACGAGGTTAACACGAACAAAATCAAAAGTAACTCGCTTCCTACCATAACAAAACACTCTTAATACCTATACAATTTGTCATGATGAATTAATAAAAAGACTTATCTCAAACAAACGCCATCTAGTGGTCCGACGGCGAATCGAAGAAGATCAATACTGTAGCTACAAACTACATTAGATAAATCAACGAATGCGACTGGGGGAAATAGGTGTCGCTGTTAACAAGTCCGTACGCATTACAAATATACTAAAAAAATAACTGTTACAAAGTCTGCTGCTGTACTTAGCCTAATCAAAGAATTTTCACCAGGTCATCAGCCCTTTGTAGTTTTTAATTACACACCATGTCATTTATATTCTGACTTAGTTGTACATATTATTATCATTAATTTTTTGTGTAATTTCCCAAACCTTTTTTATACATAAGTACTAAAGGACTGTCATAAAGTACTGAACAATCAACGCACGATGGAAATTCAATAGGTGCTTATTTATGCTGAAGATATTTTAATTATTATTAAAAATGACGTGGTCACATGGGTTGCTTATTACTATATATTATGAATACTAATATTATAAAATTGAATTTTTTGATTTTGAAGTTTATTTGACGCGCTAAGAATTTGGAATTAGATTTAAAAAAAAACTTTCTAAATGTTATAACCGTATTCATAAGTTAGTAAAGGTAGTAGTGGACCTCTAAATTGAAGGATAGTAATAGCATTGCGCTGTAGTGTGCCTGGGTTCAAACTTGTGAGCTCTGAATGTTTGATCGAAGGAGTTAATTATTATACCTACTCGCTTAATTTCTTTCAGTACTAAGGCCTAGGTTTAGGGGTCTGTTTTTTGTGAACCTGTTGCCATTTATTCATTTCCTAATTTAAATGCGATTCCTTCTTTTTTTTACGATATAGAAGGGAAACGCGCAGAAGGGTCACCTGATAGAAAGTGACTACTGTCGCTCATGAATGCCTGACGCAGGAGTCAAAGGCGAGTTGCCGGCATTTGTGGGAGGAGTGCGCCTTTTTCTTGAAGGTTTGAAGGGTCGTATCAGCCCAAATATACCGCAGGCCACATTTTGTTCTACAGGTAGGTTGTACGAGGCAAATTTATTTTTAAAAAGCGCACAGTGCTGGAGTGCCTATTATTCAATTGATGGGCCGGCAGATTTGCGGCGTGGAATCATCGTAGAAAGGTGCGCCGGTATTAGTCCGAACAATTTAGTGACGTTACATCTAATCTCTTAAGGCGGCATTTTAAGAAGCTACCTTACTCATTCTGTTACCGATATGTAACAAAGCATATTTATTACATATTATTTTGGTGCAAAATTAAAGAGTCGGTTAATTATTAAGAGTTCCTTTAGATAACTTATCGGTAATTGTGTCTATTTCGTATAAATCGGTGTTTTGAATTAATCATAAGCCCCGGTTAATACACTATCAATAATAAAAAATGTTTGATTACATTTGAATTACGTAGTGTAGATTTACCTCTGGCGACAGATTAAGAGCTACGGTAGGGAATGAGGTGGTGGCCTGAGGGCCTAGTGCAAGTTTATTTCACATCAAATCGCTTTTGGCCGTGATGGTCGAGTAGATGTGAAATAAACTCTCAATTTTTGGGCCTCTGAGGCCCAAGTGCGAGTTTATTTTACGATACGACCGAACACGGTCACCGTGACGATCGAGTAGATGTGAAATGAACTCACACTCCGTCCTCAGATCGCGTCAAGACGCGATTGGGCTGCAACGTAGTTTTCGGACTGATCGGCGGGGTTAACTTCGTCGATTCGGGGAGACTTGGAAATGTCATGGCCTGGGTCCTCCCCAGAGTAGAGAGTCCGAGAGTGGCTGTTGGAGTGGTTTTTAGTGGAAACATCAGATATTTCTAAATCTGAAAATTAATAGATATAAGAAAAACACTACACCAAAAAATTACCATATTATTTTTGCTAACAATTATTAATTAATTATACTTTACTAAAAGGCAATATTAAAAACATTTTAAAACCAATTAGGTATAATTATTTTGTTGGTGTGTTTAACATATTAAAATAGTGGTTGCAAACCAGCTCACTGATTGTCGTAAACTGACGAAAGTGGTAGTAAACCGACGTTTTGGCTATAGGCACCTTTTTTTTTCTGTGAAGAAATCCCCTCGTATATCACCTACCTACTGGTGGCTATGTCACCCACCTATAAAATTTAATAAATAATTATTTGCAATTTTGAAAAATTGCAAATAATTATTTATTAAATTTTATAATAAGTTATCGATGAAGGTATTTTATTTAATATTAAAACTAGACTATACTTGGGCCATTTTTTAGTAACCAATACTATATTTCGAATAGATAACATTTTCTTTTACTCGTCTGAACCCAGCTAACTGGTCGATAACCGGTGCAATGATTTACAAAATTTATAGTATTAGGTCTTTACCTATGAAATTACCGTTTTGTATGCAATAAGTGAAAGTACTTATTTTTTCAAACTTTTTTATTTTTGTTATTCGAAGTAATCAGCCATGCAATCGACGCATCTTTGCCAACGCATTGGCAGTTTATTGATGTCCTTCTTGTAAAAATCAGCTGGACGGGAGGCAACAAACTCTTCAAAGGCATTTTGTACTGCCTCTCGGGAATTGAATTTTTTACCTACTAAAAAGTTGTCTAAATTTTGGAAAAAGTAATAGTCGGTAGGTTTTTTTGGTTTCCTCATTTCACCTTGGAAGAATTTCACCTAGGTGATATCACCCAAGTGAAATAATTCAACATAAACAGAGGCCTAGGTTCACCTTGGAATTGATTCATCCAGGTAAACAAAGGCAACTTTTTAATTATCTAATGTACTTTTATCACCCACATAAAGCATGATAGTAAAAACTTTCAAATTTACAGAAAGCCCACTTTCTGTAAATTTGAAAGTTTTTACTATCGTTACTAGGTATTAAAAATTGTATTTTGTTTATTACCTATATATGTTGAACACACAAACAATCAATAGTAGTTAAATCAATATTTCAATAAATTAATAGTGACTTTTATGATGCCCCCAAGTTGTGTGATGAACATTTAACTGTTTTAAATATTAAGTTGGCTGTAAATTTGAAAGCTTTTATGTGAAAGATAAAAGTACACAAGATGAATAAAAAAGTCCCATTTGTTTACCTGGGTGAATCAATTCCAAGGTGAATTAAGGCCTCCGCTTACGTCGAATTATTTCACCTGGGTGATATTGTGGCGACTAACACATACAAAGCAACAGAAACATACTACAGCGCCATTTAACAAAGACACACCGAACTATGGAGTAACTCCTGAATGAGAATTGCTAATCCTATATCGCGATATTAAGAATTCTCTCGCCGATTAGCATATATACAACTTCCCAACATCAACCGTTAGGTCGCGGCCCGCCAGGCTAATCACACCACCTGGTCGGAGGATCCTCCCTTTGTATTGGAGGGCATGACACCCGTTCCTTCACAATATCATCTAGGTGAAATTCTTCCAAAAGGAGGAAACCAAAGAATGTACTTCATTTACCTGGTTGATATCACTTAGGTGAACATAGTGGAATAAACCTGATTTGGTATTCAATAAGAATATCGTACAGTTTCAGCTGTGTTTGTGAAATTTGTGGTCACTGCTTTCCTTCCTCAGAGATACTCTTTCCAACTCTAAATGAATTAATCTAATTCAAGTGACACTTCCAATAAATTATCTGTTTAATAATGTTTCAGCTTTATCTCCGTAGTCTCATTTTCGTTATGGTCACTGGTCCGCACCAAAAGGTCGTCGTAGTAAAGCAATTCGTTGTGTTAATGTTTAATGATATTGTTAAAATTGGTCGAGTTCACAAGGGATTCGTAAAATATGATAATTGTATCCATTACAAGAAAAAACAACTAAATTAATTTGTAAAAAACTTTTATAAACTAATTAGGTACCTATATTATACAATACCTTTCACTACTACTAATGCTTAGTTCTTAATACATTTTTTTTTTTACAAATTTCATCGATTTGTATTGATCCTGATTGACAATTACTAAATGTAATCTAAAAATACTATGTCAATAATCTGATTAGATTTAACTGTCTGGTTTCACATCGTACCACGTACAGCTTAACAAACTGGGAACGTTCTAAGGCAGCGACGTTGAACAAAAATACTCTCAGTTTTATCATTAATAATGAGTTGTTATCAAGAGCCCGCCTACAAACGGAGCGCAGGAAGCGCAGTCGACTGGTCGTTGATCAGCACACGTCGCGTGCGCACCGCTCTGTGCCTTTACAAACGGCGTAGCGATTACTGCGGATTTAATAAATTCAATTCTCTGACACAAAAATTGATATTAAAAATGACTCTAAATAGAGAAGAAGAGGCTCCGACTAACGATGCTCTCACGGCAAAAATTATTACCATGGTGTGCTTATTTTCTATATCTATGGTAGTGGGCTGTTTGCCTTTCCTCTTATCCTTAAAATTTAACTGGTTCAAAAGCGATGGGAATCTTCGGAACTCTAATAAAGTGGTGATGGGTTTATTGTCGTTTGGAGGAGGAGTACTGTTCGCGACTACTTTCATGCATCTGTTACCTGAAGTTGATGAAAATATTGAGCTGTTACAAGGTCAGTAAACAACGGAAATGTTTATTATATTCATCAAGTTGGTATTGTCTTTATGCACGAAGTATTGTTTAAGATTAACTAAGTATAATTTTAACGTCCTTATGTCAAACATTGTCAGAAAATTTAATGATGTTCCTTATTTATATCTAGCGATATCCCTACCGACTTAGTAGAGGGTCAATTTAAAACGAATTATAATTTCTGAGTCAAAAGCTATAAAATCGATTAACTAACAAACAAAACGTGTCTGATTGAAATATAAATGCATAGGTATTGCTTTATATAATTCACTTTAAAATTGAAAATGCAAGCTAAATAACGTGACGAAGGATAACATTGAGATACAATGGAACTTATTTTTGTATACATACCATTATTTAGTTTGTATATAAATTGATATTTCGCATTACTCGTTTCTACATTACCTAAGTATAATGCGTTATTTGTGAGAGTGTTATAATGTATGTCTAAGAAAAATACTTATTAAAAATAAATAAATTAAGTAAGTATCTATTGGATTCAATAATAAATCGATCTAATTTTGGAAACTCGATTCTTTTTACTTTATTTTTACTTTTACTGTTTCCTTTAATGAGGATGATCATTTGTATTATGCTGCGCTTAACTTATCTTTTGTATTTCTATATTTAGTGATAAATCATTTTGTTTGTCAGTGGTCTGGTCACGATAGTACAGACTCTTCCTAATTTGGATCAGGTGTCTCATCTTATTATTTATTGAAACGTATGCCATGTGTAAATGAAGTAAATGTATTAGTACATACAGACTATATTAACATGGCACTGTTAATGACTAGTCGTTTCCCGCTGTTTCATCCGTGTTTATGAAAACTGTTCCGCTAATAAGGGTCTCAAAATCAAATAGACTAAAGTAATACTTAAGAATTAGGCTAATAACTAGAGAAAGTGTTTTTAAATGCGATTCCATTGATCGGCATAATAAAAAGAAACCGGCAAAGTGTCGCACCTTACGCATTGTAGGTGTCTGTATTTTACTACTGACGGTTTTAAACAATTTCATCTCAATAGTTATTTCTAATTGTTTGTACGAAAACGAAATTTTCTAATTGTTTGTGTCTAGGCAGTAACATTTTATAAGTAACTATTATTACTAACCTATTTTTCGTTTATTAACCCGTTATATTTTTCTACTGCCATTACGAATGTTTTCTGTTTCTTCAATTTTCCCAATCAGACCACTTTATCAAAAAATTGTTTTAACACACCCTCGTTTTTGAAGGACCTTTCCAATTATACATTACACTATTAGACTATGAAATAGATAAGAAAAGATAAAAGATCCTCACTTCATGTGTAGGCTCTGTCTAAAAGATTTTTTCTGGTCTTTATTTTAACTTTTGCAAATTTACAGATTTGTAGTAGGCAGACAGTTAAGGCAAAGCTATAAAGGTGTCTTGTTAGGATTACGGAATCTGTAAGCCGGAATAAGGCGAGTCTTATTACTGCACCGACTTTAGGAAAACTTGTGTCTGCACACAAGTTTCCTCTTAGTCCCTCGACGAATTATCGACTATCTCGAGAATCGATCCCCAACGATATTTGTCCCTTTTTAAAAAAAAAACGTGCTTCACGGTCAACTTTTGAACTCTATGCTGCATGCTTATGCTTTAAAAATTGATAAAATTCAAAAGTAAAACAATGAAGGAAAAAATCTCACACACGTGGAGTAATAACACAATTTTTCTTTTCCTTACAAATTGTATCGAAGTGTTAGTCAATGAGATCGCTGTAGTGACTTACTACTTTACACATTCTTGCATAGGGAGAATTGGCATCAAGAACTGTTCTTGTTCGGGGAACAAAGTGGTGTGACTAGGCTGCGCGGAAGTCTGGATGGAACGCGAAACTTAAAACGCGGCTACTAACTGAGGACAGTCAATTTTTCGGTCGAGAATTTTGTACGCGACATTGCATCGTTTAGGTTTATACGTCTTGCTAGGGATTTTATTCCAACGTGCTTCATTCAGCCTTCATAAGAGCGTATTTTTTGGTGATGTCATTGAATGCAAGGTGCCAGAGAAATCGCTTTTGTACACCTTCAAGTCGCAATAAGTGTACAGCAGTGGCGGATTTACATATTTGTCGCAAGTAGGCTATTAAATTTTAGCCGCCCCGACTAACCTCTACAATTCAATACCTACTCTTTTTTTACGTGCGGAAACCCCCTCGAGCCGTCACCCACCGGGGTTAGCGGCGGGTCGGTGTGTCGGAATTGAACCGACTAAAACTATAGTGTGCCACTCTGTGCATAACATAGTGTGTCTCTGAAATAGGCACAGAGTGGCACACACATCCGTTTTATTACGTGTGTTCCACTCGTCACGGATGTGGAGGTAGCGACGGCTGTTCTACCGATCCGTTCCAAGAACACTGCCCCCCACCAGACGGGATACCTGTGCTCCCGAGTGCTGGCCTTAGCCCTCGACCCCATGTCAGATCCCCTGAGGGAGGTCTTCGTCTTGGTATTCGGGACGTTACCGAGAGTGCTGGAAGAGCGGGAAGCTGGTCTTGTTAACGAAGCTAGAACAGCCTGCCAATGGTGTTCCGACGTTGGACAGTGGACGCTGTCAGGTGCATTCGCTCCATGTCGATTAGCGTTGGCGGTAAGGGTTGATATTGTCAACAAGTTCGATACCCTCTCCTGCCAGGCGATAAGGGTGGCTTTTGAATTTCATGAGGTGCCGCTCTACCTGCGGGCCATCTACGCAACAGGACGGTGAAGTTTATCGGTCGGAATGGGGCGGAAAATCGGTGAGAGGTGTGTTGCGGGGTTCGCCAGGGCTGTGTTTTGGTCTCTTTGTTGTGGAACTTCGTGGGATTTATAGGCGAAAGTACTTACCGAAGTATATCAGCAGGCGGCTGAGTTCTGGGCGGGTATAACCTATCCGTGGTAGACTTCACAAGCTGGCTTTGCCGGCGTAAAGGCGCTCCGGCTCGTCATCGTCGAGTGGGTAGGCCGTCAGCACGGGTGCCTTTCCTTCCGAAGTACCTGCACTCGCTCACGGTACATTGAGTCCCGTCTGTGCAGTTTGCCCAGTTTGGCCGGTGTGATACGCGCTGTAGCTGGTAGCGACAGATGTTTCCTTCGCGAAGATGTCATCGCGTAGAAGGAGGCGGGAGGAAGATTTCCACTCGGACCCATTTTGCAGCCATGAAACGGGCGGCGGAGGTGCGCATTCTAGGGCCTCATGCCGCCCTGAGTGATTATTAATAAAAAAGTTAGTTAAATAAATTATTTAAATTGTAATATTAAACCGCTATTGGAATATTTAAACAATTCATATTCACAAAGACATATTTCACCAAGCGTTTAGTAATTTTTCAAATACATTTGTTAGAGAATTCGGTACACTGCATCGAAGTAAAATATTGTTATTTTTGTTAATTTTTTTCTCCATGTATAAAATAATGTTATTTTTGGTTTTCATGGGGTGCCATCCTCAAAATGAAGTTTGGAGGTCAGCAGACGGTACACCTCTCGATCATGAGCGGCCTCCTTTAGTTGGCGATATCGCAGTCCGGTCCAGGCCACGATGTCATCTATCCACTTCCTTCGTGGTCGACCTGGTGTCCTCCTGCCTGGTATTTTTCCTTCTAACAGAATCCTCAGGAATTCATGTTGCGGGCCCCTTTGTATGTGTCCAAAGAAGGCCACCTTCCTTTTCGCTATAACCGCCATCAGTTCTCTCCTGCACTTGGCTCGCTCCAGCACCTCTACGTTGGATGTAAAACTAGTCCACGGGATTTTAAACATCTTCCGCAATAACCACATCTCGAAGGCTTGCAGTCGGTTACATATGTCTTTCCTTAAGACCCACGTCTCACACCCATACAACAGTGTGGACCAAACGTAGCATTTCATGACGCGGTGCCTCAAAGGGAATGGGATTTTTGGGTCGCATAAAACCTTAGACATCTTGAAGAAAGCAGTCTTAGCTTGTCCTATTCGACATTTCACCTCTTCCAAATGGTCTAGGTCATTCGTAAAGTATCGGCCAAGATATATAAACCCACCAACGCCTGCCACATCCACCCCCCGAAGCTTTATATTTGGAGTGGGCATCATTGTCTTCGCTATAACCATGGTCTTCGTTTTATGAACATTAATTGACAACCCCATAGCTTCTCCCGCAGTTGCTACTTCATCTAATAAAGTTTGCAGTCCGGCTTCTGAGTTTGCGATAAGCACTGTGTCATCTGCATATCTTATATTATTGACCAGCAGTCCAATTTTTGGTTTAGGTAAGACAAAAAAAAATTGGGACAAATTTGCCGCCCTAGGTTCCAGCTTACTCAGTCTGCTGGTAAATCTGCCACTGATGTACCTACAGCATAATACCAATGTGCTTCGAACTAAACTTATATAGATTATTTTTTGTGTTGTTATTGCGAAAAGCTTTACAGTTTCTTAAATCAAATCTTAACAGTTTTGATGCATTTTTAGTCATCTATATATATAAAAGAAAGTCGTGTTAGTTACACTATTTATAACTCAAGAACGGCTTTACCGATATGGCTGAAAATTGGTGAGGAGGTAGCTTAGAGCCAGGAGACGGACATAGGATACTATTTATTCCGTATTTTTTTTTTGTATCGGCGTCGATCACCAGATGACAACGGTGGAACTGTCACAACAAAAGTGAAAAGAATGGATTTCGTTGTCGACAACTGTTGGATTGTTCCATATTCACCACTTATTTCTAAAACGTTTAAGACACATTGCAACGTTGAGTATTGATCGGAAGACCATCTGCGTCGTTTGTTTTGCGCCTGATAAGAAAACAAAAAATGTCGTGTATCACAAGGTACTTAAGTGAAGAGCAACCTATGTACTGAAATGCAGAAACAATAATAAATGATTAATGTACTTCATTTTTTTTTTCTAAGAAATAAATTAAGTTACTAAATTCGAAAATCGGCTTATTTATTGCCTTTAAGGCGGAACAGAGTTCGCCGGGT